CTAATTTGTTTGTGAGTTTGTTTTTACATAATGCAGTTTAGTCACTATATTAGAGTGTCATAGTTTATTGGAGTGTTTTTTTCTCCATTGTGAGAGTAATAATTTTTGTTTGTTTTTTGTTAGTACTTTTCAACTAACACAAACTAAAACCATTTTATCATTTCACAATTGGGCGTTAAGCGTATGCCATTTAAATGCAAAACGTATCATTTGATGCAATGTGAGCATTCATTTAAATGAAACAGGCTTGCGGGACCTACTCTGCCGTTAATATGATTGAACGGTATTAAGCCACAAAATGTGGGCCCAGTATATAGGACACTACTTCATTTTGTTCATTCATTGTATTATTTTAATTCTATTTAGTGGGTCCCTCAATATTTGAATGGATCTTAAAGAGTGTTAGTTAATGTTTAAATGGAGCATATTTAAAAAAAGAGAAATGCTATATTGTCAACCTAGTGTACAACTAAGTTGACAACACAAGTAAAAACATCCATAAAAATAAAAATAGAAAAATACACAAGTGGATATTTTCCACTTGCGTTGTCAACCTAGTTGTACACTAAGTTGGTTATGTATCATTTTTCTTAAAAAAATTGATGATATAGAGATGATGTGAAAGAGAGAGAATGTGGTTGATGATTAAATGAATTACAAGCAATGTAGATACCCTAAGGCAAGCTTTAAAAGGCATTAGGCGCTTGCCAGTAGACAAACTAAGGCCTAATGCCTAGGCAGGGAATAGACGGTGTCTAAATAGGACCCTAAAAATATTAATAAATTTATTTATAATATATATAACTTACAAAATAAAATACATTAATTAATATGATTAAATATAAAGATTTTTACAAATATTATATACTCATTGTATTCTATTAATTTTACATGATTATTATTTATATATTAAATTAATTAAACGAGCATTACAAATATTATATACTCATAGTATTCTATTAATTTTACGTGATTATTATTTATACTAGTATGTGGCCCGTGCGATGCACGGGTAAATAATATTAAATAATATGTATAATATGTATTCGTTTAGAATTTTGAGTGTCACTTTGAAATTTTTTAAGATTTGAGACTTTTAAGATGATCAAATTTTAGAGGAATACTATGAAATGTTAAGTGTGAATGTGAGATTTAGAGTGAAATTTTGTATAATTTTTTTTTCTTTTAAATCATAACTAATCTTAAAAAGACCTAACAAATCTTGATCTCAAATAAGTTAAATATTTAAGGATATTTTAAGATTTTTTTAATTTTTATATATCAAAGATGAACAACTTTTGTTACCAAAAAATGTGGACACAATTTTGAATTTACATCCCATCCAAATATCAGTTTTATTCTAAAATAAAAATTGCACGTGGTTTTATCCAATTTACTCACTTTTTTTTAAAGAAAAAAATTATTCAATAAGATTGGAAGAATTGGTTAAGAATTATATAACTATTTGTTTCTAAAATTTGTATCCAATTTGTACGGTTTTTAAGTTAATTTGTATTTAGAATTTTTTTTATAAATAATTGACACATTTTTTGCGCAAGAATCTCCAAATTTGTAACCAAAAAATATATGATTTAAATATTAGTAAAAAAAATAAAATATACTACGAAAAAAATAGAATTCAAATTTTGTCATAAGAATCTCCAAATTAGTTACCAAAAAATAGGATTCAGATTTTGTTACTAAAGATTCACATGTATTTTTTTTTAACTTTCCATTAATAGTAAGTCAAAACATTATTTTTTAGGTCAACCTTACTATTTTTGTATTTTTCCAACAACCTCTTTATATTACTATAGATATCAAATAAATGAGCATCTAGGCGGCACCTGAAATGTCTAGGTCGCAAACTAGACGACTAATCGGTCCAAATGTGACTAACTTCGTAACTGCTGCGTGGACGATCTAAAAACCGCTTAAACGCCTCCAATTGCCTGAGCGCCTAAATGAAAATCATCTAAAAACCGCTTTAACGCCTCTAATTGCCCGAGCGCCTAAATGAAAATGTGGGCCGTTGAGGGCCGCCTAGCCCGATATATAAAACATTGAGACAGAGCAAACTCCATCCTTTTATTTTCTCATCTTGTTTAAGTACATCCAATTTGAAACCATCCTCGAATAATAATAAATTAAAGATGACAAATGAATGAAAATTACATACAAATATGAAACGGGAAAGGAGCCCTGTAGAATGCGTACCCCAAAAGGTTATAAATAATAATAAATATCCAAGTCTCCCTTCAAAAACAACAAACAGTAGCTTGCAAACAATTTCCTTCTCAAAGATGATATCACTCAGACTCGTTCAAAATTGGAACGATTAATGGCTTCATCTGTGATAGATACACAATTGCCCACCTACAGATGAAGAACAAAAGCATATGGTGAGTTAAATAAATAAAATCAATCAATAATCTGAATAGAGCAATACTTCTCATGGTTGAAATTTAAGAACCCAGAAAATCGGAACTACTAACATTGCATAGAATAAATTTACAATTTCTCAAGGACCTCAATTTCAATGCAGGTGCAGATGCAAAGCAAGGATATAATAAACAAAATCAAGATAGCTACTTTTGGAAAAATATCATTTTTCTTTCATATTTTAAAGGAGATCAATGAAGACAGTGCCACAATTTGAGTTTCATTGAGTGGAAATGCTCAAAAGCATTACACAAACAGCAAAGAAAACTACATACAATGACGAATAGATTTATATCACAAAAGAAGTAAATTATTCCGGAAACTTTACTTTTTCCAATATACAATATAACTAGTAAAACCAAAGGATATACACCTTACAAGAACCTAAACCAAATTTCAGCAAAATATTGCTATGTTTATAGAAACCAAGAAAATCATGGTGAAGAGGGAAATAAGAAAAGAAGTGTATTAGTTGGGGAAGTTCTGTATGTGCAAGTATATTTGCTAATTAGAGGAAATGAATGAATCTTACATCATCCAGCAGCAAACTGTTGCAGTAATAATCAATGTCAGATGTAACCTGCGAAAAAATAAAATAAATAAGAAAGTGAATAAGATAGTTCCAAACACTGCCATGGAGGGAATAAGCTAACTCAACATATCCACTAAATTGTACTCAGCCACGAGATAAATGTTCAAGCCACAATAAATAGTCAGAAAACCCCACAAAAACCAGAAAACTTTTTTCAATAGACAAAGCAGAAGTAGGATTGTCCGAGCTGTTCAAATCAAGATTAAAGCAACTGCTGGGAAAGAACCTTTACAATGAAAATACTTCTGAGAAAAACTCGGGCAATTCTCTACCGTAAAGAGAGTACAAACATTTGGCAATCATATAAAACAATGATAACACCTCAATTTTGCTTTTCATTACACTACAATAGATAACTTCATAAATGATGCTAAAAAGTTAAATACAAACGGAAAATCAGCATGATACATACAAATTCGCAGAGGGTCCTCTGTTGCAGCAGATTCTGGTGCAAAGTGACGCAATAACCCCAACCACTACGAATATTAACGTAGTTACCAGAAACCCCATCTCCAACTCACTTTCCCAACCAAAAATGCTGGTTACTTTAACCTAAGACAACGGATTTTAACGGCACGAGTCAATGCGGAGATCGAAAATCGCTGATCGAAATAATATTCTTCGGATCCCAAATGCTGCGCAAAGTAACCCGATACTGGATGCAAAATGCAGAAAGACAAGGATTATACTTTCAGCAATCCGATTGGGATCGAGATATGGAGGGCGAAAATTAAAATAAATAAATAAATCAAAATGAATTCATTGGGGGATAACAAGACGATATCCAGAAGAAACTCACCGGGATAAATCTGAGAGTACTCAAAAAGTTGGGCCGAGCCGACGATGCTTCAGGTGCAGGTGCTAAAAAAGTTAGCGAACTGGGAATGGGATTTGGAAGTGATAGAGACGATCGGTAAATTAATTATTTTCTTTCCCAACTACACGTCCTCCGTTTTTAATATAAATAAATAACTACTACAGTACACGTGCGATGCACGGGGCTTTATTATTTCCGTTATTTTTAAAAAGCAATTTTGTATTTAAATTCAAATTATATAATAAAGCACCAATCATTGATTATAATTAAATCTAGGGAGCTTTCTTTAAAAATCCTCAATCCTAATTCAATCTTCCAAGTCAGTCCCTAGTAATAATTTCTATCTATTTCACTCCCTACCTCCATATTAATCTTCCATTAAAATCTCTCCTATTAAATTAAATCACAAAGAAATTGTTATATGACATCATCTCACTATCTTCCATTATTTTATTCTTTTTGTTTACCCACGACTTCTTCCTCACTCTTCTTTATTCCCTACTCTTCTTCTCTCGCATTTTTCTTCTTCATTGCTGCTGTTTATTTTTTAATTTTTTGCAGCTTCATCTCGCTGGGGATTACAAACCGGACCATGGGGATTTTATCGGAGGCAATAAATCCGGCGACCTTAGGGCTTTTTCCTGCCGAAAATCCCGGTTTCTCCGGCCAAAAATTGCTACTTTCCTGTCCGAAAGTTCCTATTTTTCCGGAAAGATTGTGGCTTTTTCTGGGAAAAACTTGAAGTAATAAGTAATGTATGTATTATATGAGAACTTTGGAGTCCAAAAATCATCTTTAATTCATATATTTTTGTTTGATTTGTGAAAGATTGAATTTTGAATATTGTTGTTTATATTTACCCTAAAACAAATAAAGTGATCAAAATCCTTTTTTTTTTGTTCATGTGTACTAAATTTATGCTATTGTTAGGTTATGTGAGGTGTTATTGACCATAAAACAAAAAAATAAGATGAGAATAATCATAGTACCACTATTCATGATTGTGTGTACCTCTGTTTGGATATATAGTACCACTTTGCTCACTGTTGGTACCATCTGTGCTGGGAAATGTGAACATTTCTTTTTCTAATCCAATTATTGTTAGATACATGGAAGGGACACAAAAATTCCTATCTCTCTGTCCGAAAATTCTTATTTCTCCGGCAAGATTGTGACTTTTTCCGGCGAAAACTTGAAGTAGTAAGTAATGTATGTATTATATGAGAAGTTTAGAGTCCAAAAATCATCTTTAGTTCATATATTTTTGTTTGATTTGTGAAGGATTGAATTTTGAATATTGTTGTTTATATTTACCCTAGAACAAATAAAGTGATCACAATCCTTTTTTTTTTGTTCATGTATTCTAAATTTATGCTATTGTTAGGTTATGTTAGGTGTTATTGACCATAAAACAAAACAAATAATATGAGAATAATCATAGTACCACTATTCATGATTGTGTGTACCTCTGTTTGGATATATAGTACCATTTTGTTCACTGTTGGTACCATATGTGTTGGAAAATATGAACTTGTTTTTTTTAATCTAATTATTGTTAGATACATAGAAGGGGAACAAAGTGATATATTAGGGAGTTATATATACAAAGATGAAATGTATGTGTTCTATCTGAACCTTGAATTAACTCTTGACGAAGTGTGCACTCTCATTGGTCAGAGGTGGCCGATTGTTAGTTTGAAAACCGTCATGTTAAACTATATTGCGCCAAAGGATAAAAAGAGAATTAGTTTGTCCGATGATGAGGATGTAAAAAACATGATTCGATTACATGTTTGTTGGCAAGTAAATATTGTGGAGATAGTTGCCATTGAAAGAAATGAAAGCCTGGGCATTGGAAGAAATGAAAGACGGGATGATGGAGTTCAACTTATGCCGATGAGCATGAGCGGGTAATGTTGCTTTCATAATATTAATGAATTTATTATTGATATATGGTGTATTTGTATCATCATATCCTAATTCATTAATTTCTTAACTAGTTCAATTATTTATAAAAAATTGTATTATTTTATCATGAACGCAAGAAAATATTACGGGAAGGAGAATCGAGTTGGTAGTGCAAGATAAATCGATTGATTCTTGGAGATTTTTCATCAAAGGAGAGGGGCAAATATTCAGTGGTCGTCGTGGACACAATCGACGTAGGTGCAATGAACGTATCTAGATCACTCATGTATTTTATTTTTAAGCAGATGTATTTTTTTGTTGCCCAAGTGTATTTTGTTGTTGCCCAGGTGTATTTTGTATTTGGTCATATGTACTTTGTTTTTTGTTGGAATGTCTTTTGATCAATTAGTACCATTTATTGATGAATTAATACCATTTATTCTTCTATTCAGTACTAGTTATTGATCAATTAGTATCTGCTTTGTAGAAAGAACAAAAAAAGAATTACTTCAAATTTGATCAACATTTTCAAAATTAGTAACAGTCATATAAACTAATGTAAGAGTGATCATGGGTCGTATAAACATCAGTTGCGACCGAAATTCGATGTTTCTATGTGTGCACTACAAGTGGTACTAAAGCCCCATAAACAGGTACTACCGTACTCTATGACTGGTACTACTTTTTTTAAATGTTGACCATAGTTGAAATAATCAATTTTCCTTCACAAAAGTATGTAGTAATCAACTAAAAACAGGTACCACATATAAGAAAATGTGGTACTATGTTTTCTAAATTAGGTACTATTTTACGAATCGTGATATTTCTAATCATTCATGTCTAACATGTCACGTGGATCGTTAACACGTGATTTGGATGAAAAATAGTGGAAGTTAAAACATATAGGTAGAAATTGGAGTAGTCATGTATGATGATTCTATGAGATGAAGTGTGTCATTCAATGAAGTGAAGTGTGGTAGTAGTGTGTTCTCATTAGTGTGTCGAGTTCATGACCATTTTACGATTAAACTCAATGAAAAACATTTTAAATCTTATATAAATAAATGTGAGAGTGATTATGGGTCGTATAAACATCATTTTCGACCGATATTCAGTGTTTCAGTGTGTTCATTACAAGTGGTACTAAAGACTCGGTATATGGTACTAAAGCCCCATAAAGTGGTACTACCTTACTCTAGGTCTGGTACTACTTCTTTTAAATGTTAACCACAATTGAAATAATCCATCTTGGTTGACCAAAACTAGGTATAAATTGATCAATATCAGGTACTACATAGAAGAATAACAGGTACTATTTCGGATTGCTTAATACGATTCTTTGTCGTGTATTTTATTAATCGGATTGCTTAATCCTATTGCTTTCCCAATACTAATTGGTTATGTTTATTACCATAATTAATTATATTTAATTAGCCACCGTGATTTCAAATTTTAGAATGAATAAGATTCTTAAATATCAAATCTTTCCATGATTGTGATATACATAAACATAAATGTCTAATTATTTCATAATTCTTAAATAAATATCCAATCACTCCATGATTGTTAGAGTAAATACTATTTTTTAATATTAAAGTACTATGTATAAAGTAATGTATTCTTTTGTACCATTATATATGTACACGGTTTCTTCATTCCATAATTAATTTTTAAGTTCTTTTTTACCTTGGTTATGATATAAAGTTAAAGTATTCGTGTATATGTAATTCTTTAATATTAATTTACTAATGTATTTTCAGATTCTTAAAAAAATTATCATTTCATAATTATTTAAAACAGTGCATCTACCTATAAATATACATGGTTTTATTTTTTAAAATAAAATTAAAAATAATTTTATTAACTCATCAAAAGATGATTAATTTGATATATTTTATTTGTGTACAAAGAAATTTTTCAAAAATTCTAAAATTACATATAAAGTTAGAAAACTGTGAAGCACGACGGATGCGATACTTGATGTATTAGGCATCTAATTAAGTAAAAAATTAATCCATTTTGCTTAATATTAAACTAACATATTCTGCACTTATGCATATACATATCACCATATTATTTCTATTTATTTAAGATATATATTTTTTACTTAATAATAGTAAATAATATCGATAATTTTATATGATATAAGTACAAAAGTTCATTATGAGTTGACATTTTTGTTTAATATACGGGTGTTTAATTATTATGAAAAAAAATATAATTTGACAATTTAATTAAAACCCAAAGACCAAAGGATACAAAACGTTTCCCCTTTCTCTCTCTAAAAAGAAGTCGTCGATCCCCTTTCTCTGTAACCTAGCCGATCAAATTTCGCCGATTGAATCTCCCTCGCCGGCCGTCTGGGTCCGTCGGTGGACGGCCTCCGTCGCTCGTCCATGGGGGTGCAGTCTTCGTCTCCTCTGCTGCCGTTTGCCCTGTTTTTCGCGCGTCAGCTAACGGAGAGTCTTCTCCGACTTTGGTGGTCGCCGGAGCTTAGGTTCCGTCAGCGATGGTCGGGGTGCGGTGCTGGTTCATGGACGAGGCTGGGTTAGCTGCAATCGGCTCTGGCTGGGACGCTGCTTCTTCAATCTGCTCGCCCTTCTTGCCGCAGGTCGGGACCGCGCTTTTTCGCCGGCGAAGCGGCGATTTGCTGAGATCTCTTCCATTCCGAGACACGGCTATGTCACTTGGAGGTTAGCTCTCGATATTGCTGCTTTTGTCTCGGTTTTCCTTTGTGTCCGCGATCGGAGGGACCTCCCGGTTCTTCTTGGCGAGATGAATATGGGGTTCACGGTTGGGGGTTGTAGCAACTACTGGGGTTAGGGTGCTGATTCCGGTAAGTGCTCGGCTGCCTAGTTGTGTTCAGCCGATTCGGGCTGGTTTGAGTGGTTGTTGTTTCCGGCGGGCTGTTTCGGTGAAGCCAAGCCGTGTTCTTCACGCGATTGGAGTGCGGGCCAGCTCTTTGGTTGGTCCTGGAGTGTGGTTACCCGTCTTGCTAGGCCTTATGTAGTGGCGGGCGGTTGTTTCCGTGCTCTGGAGCTGTCTTTGGAGTTGGTTTGTCTACCGTAAACCTAGATGTATCTGGCGGGGGAGGTCGTGTCCTCCTTTATGTCTTTTGTCTTTTGTGTTAGTTTTGTTGGTATGTGTTTTCGTTATTCGTATCATTTTAGATTGTGTTTTTGGTCTGGGCCGTTGGCCCCTGTGAACTCGAGTTTCACTTTATTATCCCAATGGGATCCGACACTCGGGTATTACTCCGTTGGAGTCCTTTTAGTTGTTGTTAGTTGTTTTAGTTGGTTAGTTTTAGTTGCGAGTTTTCTTCTAGCGTTGCTAGCGGGACTCTAGGCGGTCTTCTGACCTGTCCTCCCACTTTTTCAATTGTTGACTGCTGTATATTCAGTTGTTGGCTGCTGTGTATTCGCACATTTGTGCATTTTGATTTATAATATAATCTATCGTTTTGGGAAAAAAAAATTAAAACCCAAAGTAATGTTTTATATAAAATTAAATTTTTAGTTTAAAAAAATTAATATTTTTTATATATGCTTCCTAATTCAACACCCGTGTATTTACACGGGTATTGTACTAGTATATTCAACTTCTAGCTTAATTTACACGGGTATTGCACTTCCACAAGAAATGCTTAATTTTCCCAAGTATTTTCAACTTCTAGCATCTTTTGAATATCTTGTGAGAAGACAAATTACTGGAACTGGTTTTAGGAATGTCCACTTTGATAAATTTAAGAGAAGACAGATGAGTGTATGTGCTGGACACTGAAAAGTGGCCTTTAGGTTCAAGTCCCTAGTAGTATCTGTCTGGTCTTGCAGAGTTCAGAGAGTTGATTTGGAGAATAGCATCACTGTCCCTAAAGTCAAATACTTGTTTAACCAACCAAGCATTCCAATTCTGGCCATCAGAGTGCAATAGGTATTTGACCCAGATCAGGTGCCCTCTAGCAATGTCTATCAAAGTTGGCTTTGGTTTGTTCAAGTGAGGAACCTAGTTCAGGTCATCAATTTTGGTTGAGGAACCATCCCTAATTTCAATCTTCAGACATTTAGCAAATAGAGGCATACCATCAGAAAAACTTCCTTGACCGATTGGGTAGATCAAGAAAATAGCGGTAGCAGCTGCAATAGGAGCTGAATATGCAACAGCAATCCAAGGTCGCATACCCAGACGGAAACTAAGCTCCCACTGGTGACGTTATTGTTGTTGTGATCAAAGAAGCAGTACCAAAGATGTCCCTAGAAAAATCAGAAGTAATCAGAGCTGTAATTGTTCGTACCTGTAAAGAACTTAAACGTAACAACGGTATGATAATACAATATGATGACAATGCAGCAGTTGTGATTGATCAAGAAGGAAATCCAAAAGGAACTCGAATTTTTGGTGCAATCCCACAGGAATTGAGAGAATTCAATTTGACGAAAATAGTTTCATTAGCCCCCGAGATATTATAAAATAAAATGAGATCATGATATCTTAATCAAGACCCTCTTTGAGTTTTTTCAGCACATGTGATTGAGCCATTAGGAAAATACCTGTCTTTAAGAATATGGCTCACCAGAAGACCAGGGATTGTAGCAATCCTCCACAGTTGCTTGCAAATAAGTGCCTCATTGAAAAGAGTGATGTCATCAGGGGCGGATTAGTATAGAACCAGCGTGGGCCTAGGCCCACACTGAATTTTACAAGAGAATTTTTAAATATTATTTAAGATAATATATAAATTAGTTGACGAAGGATTATTTACATTGTGTAGGTGCATTTAGGAAGATATAATTGTATCTCTTACTTTAAATTATAAAATGATTTATTGCATTTTATTTTACCACCATTAATTATTTTTTTATTTATTTTTATTTTTAAGAATTGACACTATTTATCTATTTTTCTTAGATATGAACTAGATATATAATTGATCATTTACTTACTATAACTTATGCAGTAAGAAGAAAAAAATAAAAAAAAAAAATCTTATTTATGTTACTTACTTCACTAACATAGTTAAATTGATTCTAAATTTGATCCCAAAATTTTTGGTTATTAATAATTCTCATAAATAAGAAGTTTCCACATAAAACACTTTAAATTAGTCACAAAATTTTTAGTTAATTAATAATTCGCATAAATATACAACTTTCTACCAAAATAACTTTAAATTATATTCGTGACCAATAGTTAATTACTTTTTTAAAAATTAGAAAAAAAAAAATAAAAGGAGAAACATTGATTGGAAATATGATTTTTTTCGGTCCTTTTCATTCAATCAAGATTTATCTTGTTGAAACTGAGAAAACAATAAAAAAAATCATGAAAATACAATATTTCATCCCACTTTATTTTTTTCCAATACGCAACACAATTAAAAAATAATAAATTTATATTATGTTATAATTTCTAATAACAATATTATTAATTCACTAGCATATCTTCATATGTCATAAATCAGATCAACTTTAATCATTACATTTTTATCCTGTATTTATTCACGAAAATATAACTCACTTTTTTATCTCTATTTTTAGATGAGACAAGTTTTTTAATATATTATATATATACAATCGCAACCTATATTTTCATTTTATAATTCGGATGGTTAGTTACAAAACCAACTTAGGCCCCCACTCATATAAATTTCTAGATCCGCCCCTGGATGTCATGAAAGCCCTGTCCACCTTTGAGCTTTGGAAGAGTAATTTTATCCCATTTCTTCCAGTGAATGCATGTGTCCATGTGCTCACTTGACTTCCACCAAAAGTGGGCAAACAGTTTGGAGATTTTTTTTGCATATGGAGATAAGAAGTTTGAAGCAGGACATGGAGAAGATTGGTAAAGCTTGCAACACAGGTTTGAGTAAAACCTCCTTGCCTGCAGTTGAGAGAAGCCTGTTTTTTCAATTTTGTAGCTTGTTTTCTGAGTGAATTCAATATGTACTCAAAGACTTCTTTTTTTTATTGGTCAATTCCCAGAGGTAAGCCAAGGTACCTTGTGGATCTGTGAAGTACAATGCCATCAAAAACACTGCAAATATTATCTCTAAGGCACTGGGGTGTGTTTCTGCTGAAGAAAATAGCAGATTTCTTCAGGTTGACCCTTTGTACAGAGAAAAGTCTGTATTTCTCCAATAGGGTGATGAGGTGGCTTGCTTGGTCCACTCCAGCTTTGCAGAAGAACAAGGAATCATCAGCAAATAGGAGGTGGGATATAGCAGGACCATTTTTAGACAATTTGAGGCCTTGAAGTCTACCTTGTGCTTGAGAGTTCAAATCAGAGCTGACAGTAGCTCAGCCACAATGATGAATAAGTAGGGGGATAGAACTTTTTCAGGGTTCATACTCCAAAACAGTTCTGATGGTATGTATCTCTACCACAATGATCCAGCAAAGATCCACTTTTTTCAGGGTTCATACTGAACAATGCCATCCTTATCTCATCCTCCTCCACCAGTGCAATAAGACCATCATGTAGGAATTTATGATCACATAATATAAATTCAATAACAATTAACCTAGAACATACTTTAATTCTAGGAAAATCAACATCGCGCTAGATTATAATTAAAGATTATAAGGAATACCTGGATCCATTGAGATTGAGTTTCTAGATGCGGAATACCTTATCATCAATCTGCGGATCTCATCTTCATGAACAGAATCTGGATCACGAACGGGGCCGGTTTTATGGTCTTCCTCAACTAAATCGCCTTATTCCTCATATGGGACCGTCATTCTCAATTCAGATGGGGAGAAAAGAGAACTATGTTTGATTTAGTATATTGGGGACCATAACCAAGAGGGTCTTTATATACTATTAGGGCAGGCCACCCATTATCACCTAATCCTAATAATACTAGGTATCCACTCAATCAACCCATATCAATTTATGTAGCCCTAGGACTCTACTTTATTTAGATCACTTAATTGAGTTCATTAATTAATAGAATAGCTAATATAATTGTATATAATATGTTGCCCATAATTAGATTATATATAGGAAATAAAATATTTCCTAACAATCTCCCACTTGGGCTATCTATTATTTCCAGAGCAATCATATTAATTCCTTAGTTGCGCAACTTTATGCTATTCAACTCCAGACTACCTTAAACAATCTGGTCCATCTCATATACTAGCAATGGAACTACCGCGACTTTCACCACATTTCAAATCGTGGTTAAACCCCGGAAATCACCATACTAGTACACTCAATGACATAGATCAAATATGGTGAGTGGCATGGAAATTACATGCAATGTGATCTTTATCATGTCTATTTCCAACTGGTCCAACTTTAAATCCTTAGTGAGATCAATCTGTAAATGCAACACAAAGCCACAATAATAAAAAACTTTAGTGATTCATAACGAATCATAACCATCAACTTTATTCTGCAGAAAACTGAAGTTATAACATTCAAGAGTACATTGAACAACTCCCACTGAACTAAGGCAATATCCATAGTAACACTTATATGAGCGATATACTCATAAAATACTTCAAGTGTTAATACCTTAGTATACCTCATAATAGAGCTATAAATTTGCTAGCATAAATTCATCCTTATGTGTTCAATAAAAATTCATTAACATGAATTTTATCCTTAACAACAAGAAACTTTATGAACAATTTCTGTTGTTCAAATATGGCAAACTAATATTATCACAATGGAACTTTAGTGGTATTCAATACCATCCACAACATACAACCTAATGATAATATTATGCAACCATAACCTGATAAAATGCCTTTAGATAAGCTAAATCTCAATTGCTAAGGAGGAATAAACTATAAGTGTCTGCTTGGCACTTTCCAAATTAGTTCTTCCAACTAGCAGTTAATGTAGCTTGACATAAATTTGGATCGTTCAACTTTACAGACATCCAATAAACTCAAAATTAGAGTTCTAAATGATCTCCCAAATGATCCAATAATCCTTAAGTGAGTATAAACTCTCTTTTGTTCTCAAACAAAACTTTATAATATTTTGAACGAATGGTTACCCACAATCTTTAGTCCAAATTTACTTATAGACATGAAAGTCTTACCTTAGTTGGACAACCCCAAGTAAGTTGAAAATCAATAGGGGATGTGAGTTTTACTCCATTCACAAACTCTATTAATAATGAATCACATTGCTTCTCACATTAATGGCAAAGAGGAATGGTCAATCATATTTCTTTTACCACAACCATAACAAAATTGAGCTAGTTTCATATGTCTTGTACCACGTAAAAAATTGGTTCCTTTATGTGAGTGAGAAAACAAGGAAACTTACTCACGAAATACTTAAATGGTACAAAACTAAACTAGCTAACTCATATTGAGAAGCAAACTTTAGAATGTGGATTAATGAAGGATACATCGTACATTAAGTCTTTTCTCGTTCAAACTTTATTTCGTTGCAAAACAAAATAAATACCTTATGCACAATTAATGTGCCGTTAGATTGAACACGAGATTTAGACATATCACAATGTACTCTTTTATGTTCCATTTAACTTTATTGAAATAATAATCAAAAGATATATTATTTCATCAAATATCCTTAGTGGAACCCTTACATGATCCATTAACCATATGTCCCAAATAATAACTAAATATTGTTATATTAGCATATAAAACTTATATAAAAAAAATAAAGCTATAATGACAAATAACTTGAGGTAAGCAGATAACAAAGTTAGAGAACAATACCTACTCACACTGAAATTTATGTCATACATAAACATTGGGTAAGTAGACCAAATAGGGACACGTGGCAAGACACCAGAGTGCAACATTAATCTCGTCTATGGACAGAAAATTAACTGCAGTGGTAATCCTGTTGTAACGATCAAGCATTGATAATAAGTTCTGTCAAACAAAAGTCTATCTATGGACTGACTAATGTTCACATGAACAATCCAAATAATTATCACATACTTATCATCACATATGTGTTATTATTTTGCCAAATTGCGTCTACCTATGGGCCGATCACAAAACGCATAAATAATTCCACACGACATCTATGTAATTTCAATAAAGTCGCTCTCAACACACAGAGGTTGCTATGGCAACATGATGTTTTGATTGACTAAATTGAAAATTACTAGACCAATTGAGTAAAATCCATATGAGTTTCTCTTATCACCATATGTGTGTTGTTATTCGGTCAACCTGTGTCTACCTATGGGCCGAGCACAGATCACATGAACAACTTCACACAACATTAAAATGATTTCAATAAAGTCATTCTCTATGCACAGAGGTTGCTATGGCAACAAGATACTTTGATTGACTAAATTGAAAATTACAACATCAGAGTAAATGTGACTGAGAATTTCTCCATTACTCAATTGAACAACGTTAAAACGTCGCCCCAGGAAAACTTTAAAGTTTATGAACCAAAATAAATTTAGTTTTAACTTTATTTAGATTGAAAGCCTATATAACCAGTTAGACTTAAAATCTAATTTCAATAAGCTTAAATCCAAATAAACTTTCTTTTGAATTTACGGCCCACTATTACCAAAATGGGCTAAAATTCATTCCATTAGTCATAAAATTACTATCCGAAAATGAGCTCAAGCATATATAAACTCAACATGACATTATTTTTGAATTTAAACCGAAACCAATTAAACACAGCTCTCGTTATCATCGGCGGATATGTCTCTTTTCTTTGTGTGGGCCCTTTCTTCTAAAGACGAAGAAAACCAGCTGACAGAGCTATTCACTTAACAGAGATAAGATGTCAATTGCATCTTTCCTCTCCTTGACGTCGGGTATTCATTTTTATAAGAGAACAATAACCAGCTACCAGCATGACCGGTTGGTTATTCTTTAGTAATGCATTGGTGCCTGACCCTAGCAATCGTCTTTCATAGGTATACTTTGACGCATCTCTGAACAAGCAAATCTCAATGCTTCTGCTGCTCAGAAGAGAGAAACTACGAGCAGAAAGAAGTAGTCATAAGTCATGAAAATGCTTAATATGTTTCTCATAATTGGCTCAAAGAGTCCTTATAAATTATATGTGATAAATTCAATATAAATCCTATCCGGATAATTAGCCCCGCATTCCGAAAACACATTATGAGTCTACCGCAAAGTCAAACTGAAAATCCAGACCTTATAAAAATTTTGAGATACCAAGAAAAAGATTACCTCAAAATCTAACTTCTAATTTGAGCCAAAATATGACGTTATATAAACTTATGTCCATTAACTTTATTTGAGTTTAAAGTTCATTAAACCAAATTAGACTTTAAAGTCAACTTTATATAGACAAAGCCTAGTATGACCAACTTAGGCTTAACCTTACCGAATGTGAAGTAAGTCCACAAAACATAGAACAAAGTTCAAACATTCAAATTTTAAGCTAGAAACAAATTTTGTTAATTTGAGCCCAACTGGACGAAAACCAAATGTCAACCTAAGCTCAAATATACTCAAAATTTAACCTAAAATCAATATAACAAAATAAGACAAAATAAAGATCCACAATTTTATTTCATCTTCTTTAGTGAAAGACCATAAAACTTAGTCTCTTATGTTGATTTAAAACCTCATAAACAAATATATTAATTTAAATCAACCTTTAGATAGATAACTCCATAGATCCCGAAAACGTACAAGTAACAACATCAATGTTTTACGGTCACAAAATTACTTAGAATTAAAATAATCAACTCAAATGAGGGTAACTTTATCTCAAGACATCATAACTCCATTTATATTTCATCTTTGGACAAAATATTAACTTGTAATTGACATCTCAGTTTAATGATCAAACATTGACAATAAAAACATATCAAACAATAAATTGTCCTTTAGGCCGACTTATTGTTCATATGTACAACCAAATAATTGTCACACGTTTATCACTACAATAACACACATTATTCTAATGAGTACTCCCCAATTCAATTTAAATAAAAGTCTATAAACTAAATTAGACTTTTATTTAGTAAAGTCCACGAAAATCAAATTTGGACTTTAAATTATATGCTCAAGTAATATAATCCTTAAAAAATTTAATAGCATATATGTGGTATAATGTTATGATCACATACACACCATTATGCACACATCTCAGCAAGATACACGTATGTGGCCCAAATATATATATTTTAATCATAATGATCCCAATTTAAAATTAGGATTCCTGATGAATTACAAATCCTCTTTATGAAGTCTGAAGCATCTCAATTCTCAAGAACATAAAACATATTAAAGTAAATCATGTTGGCACATCATTAATCCAATTAATCTAGATCTTGCAGTCGATGACCGCTCTGATACCACTTGTAGGAATTTATGATCACATAATATAAATTCAATAACAATTAACCTAGAACATACTTTAATTCTAGGAAAATCAACATCGCGCTAGATTATAATTAAAGATTATAAGGAATACCTGGATCCATTGAGATTGAGTTTCTAGATGCGGAATACCTTATCATCAATCTGCGGATCTCATCTCCATGAACAGAATCTGGATCACGAACGGGGTCGGTTTTATGGTCTTCCTCAACTAAATCGCCTTATTCCTCATATGGGACCGTCATTCTCATCAGATGGGGAGAAAAGAGAACTATGTGTGATTTAGTATATTGGGGACCATAACCAAGAGGGTCTTTATATACTATTAGGGCAGGCCACCCATTATCACCTAACCCTAATAATATTAGGTATCCACTCAATCAACCCATATCAATTTATGTAGCCCTAGGACTCTACTTTATTTAGATCACTTAATTGAGTCCATTAATCAATAGAATAGCTAATATAATTGTATATAATATGTTGCCCATAATTAGATTATATATAGGAAATAAAATATTTCCTAACACATCATTCATCTACTGAGATATAAAGCAAGGAATTCTTTGTAAAATCGCATCACCTCCGGTGGATCCTTCAGAAGAAAACAACTTCCCAAATAAATTTGTTACACAAGCTTCAATCCCTCCAGGGGTTTCATACATAAGTCCATTTTTATCAGTTAGGCTTTAAATAACATTCGTATTCCTTCTCTTAGCTGTAAAGGCATGGAAGAACTTCAAATTGTTGTCCCTCTCCTTCAACCACTTGATTCTTGCCTTTTGTTTCCAAAAAAGTTCTTCTGAACACTGAACTTCTTCCAACTAATTTTTGGTTGACTCTTAGAAATCCCAGTTTCTCTCCCCTCCTTCTCTTCTTATATCTTCCAACTGAAGAGTGAGCTACTCAATAATTTGTCTAGTTATCAGATTCATAAAGCCTATTCTACTTCAGAAGAGCTATTATAGTATTCTTAATCTTTTCTTTAACAATGTACAAGGGAGTACCACTGATCTGGTGCACATTCCAGGCATCTTGAATCACTTCCTTGCCTCCTTCTATAGCCAACCATCTCTTATCAAATCTGAATCTTTTTGTTTTTCTTTTTAAACCACCAAGACTCGAGTCAATTACTAGTAACCTTTGATCAAATGAGCTTCTCAAAATATTCTCCACTTTTGAGTTAGGATTTGAAGACAACCAGTCTAGAGTCACAAATGCTCCACTTCTCAAAATATTCTCCACTTTTCGATGTTACACGGCCAAATTGAAATCTATATATTGGACAAAATTGATATCTACCATAAATCATTGTACGAAATTACAATTTCCCCACATTTTCAAATATTACAACCATTACATTATTAGCTGGTCAATTTACTATAAAAAGAAGCAACAACGAACACATAAATGCAGAAATACACAAGATACTAAAGTTAGGAAAGCTTGAAATAGTAAATAGTATGCTTTACTCTTGAGAATTTTTATTGGCAAATCTATAAATTCTCCAATGAGCAGAACTCTGCCCGCATTTTATGCCTCCCCTACAATCTCAAGAATCACTCAAATACTATTCAAATATTTATTAACCGTCATTATAAAACGGATCACAATAAGTGACTCTCAATCACCCATTCCCTTTTACTACCACAATTAGCCCATCATTTGCTTCCCTCACAAATCTAAGTATTTCATTCTATTTTTTCCTCTTTCACTTTTTCTTCTTTATTTAGGCGCGTGCGTTGTTGATTTTCTTATTATTTAAGGCCTCAAGCGTGTCTCAAGCTTTTTCTGGTACATGCATGCATTGCCTCACATAATTTTTTATTCAACATCTTAAAAGCAATTAACATTAACTAATTATTAATTTTCTCTTAAATGAATGCATGATGTGAAGGATTCCACAAAAAAGAAAGGAAAAAGTAGGATAGAAACAAAAAATGGGACGTGATGATGGAAATGACAAGGAAAAAGAGAATTCGGATTGCGAATTGAAGAGCACTCACGACCCTGACATAGCTTCGGATTCGGAAGGAAGAATAAGCCGACAAGCGTCGTGCTATGCAACAGAGGATGACGAGGATTTGAACATCCAGCTTGGACCCAAAGTTAGCATCAAGGAACATCTGGAGAAAGATAAGGTCTAATCATCATTAACTAATTAACTAGTGTTTTTGAAATTTCTAATCTCGTCAATTTAATTTATTTATAGGATGATGAGAGCTTGAGGAGGTGGAAGGAACAACTCCTAGGGAGTGTGGATGCTGCTGCTGTTGAAGGTTCGGTTTCAACAATTTTTTTTGAAAAATCGAAAATAAACTATTTGTGACATACAATTGTGCAATTACACATTTCTACGTAAGGAGTTGATTAAAATTACTGAAAGTAATATATATGGGGGCAAATTGACAATTTTCAGAGGATCAAGAGCCAGATGTGAAAATATTGAGTCTCACAATTGTGTCCCCGGGAAGACCAGACATAGTGCTCCCAATACCTGAGAATGGGAACCCTAAAGGGCTTTGGTTCACACTCAAAGAAGGTAGTAAATATCGGCTTAGATTTTCCGTTAAGGTTAGCAACGACATCGTTTGTGGCCTCAAATATACCAATACTATCTGGAAAACTGGAATCAAAGGTATCTATATTTCTATAACCATATATTCCATCTTACTTTTTTTTTTTTTCTTTTTCTTTTGAAATTTATTTATCTAGATATTGATTAATTTTTATTTGCTTTGGGAAATATATGAAATAGTGGATAGCTCGAAGCAGATGTTGGGCACATTTAGTCCTCAGGTGGAGCCGTACACGCATGTAATGGAAGAAGAGACGACTCCATCTGGGATTTTCGCTAGAGGATCATATTCTGCAAAATCAAAGGTCATTACTCAAAGTCACTGAAAATTATATTTGTGATCTTTGTCTAATATAGTATTACTATACAAATTATTCGAGGTCTAAACAATGTGTAGACATGGTTCAATGATCACATTGAATTGCAGCTTGGCTTATGAAATTATATTACATGGGTTGACAATATTATTCATAAGTAGGAAAATATGATTTCGGATTTAATTAAAAAGAAGAAAGAAGTGGGATTGACAATATTATTCATATGTAGGAAAATCTTGATTTGGTATTAATTAAAAAGACAAATGAAGTGGTTTTGCAAATGTGTAATTATATTTACATTTTATTTATTTTGAATATTCAAGAAATATAGGTGTACCTGGAATCTTGTCAAAATTTGTGTCTCAAATTTATTATTATCTATATCTATACTATTATAAAAGGACGAGTGACTTTGTAAAAATAATGATCAGCCTAAAAAACCCTTACTTTGACATATTTTTAATGGCAAATTAGTAATACAGTAATACTCATCTTATTTTATATTTTAATTAACAAATGAAGTACCTAAAAAACCCTTACTTTGACTTAATTTTAATGGCAAATTAATAATACACTAATACTCTTCAAATCTTATATTTTTTAGTTAATCACTAATATTTAATTAAATAAATAACAACGTAACATTGAAGACTATTACGATCCACGCCCAAAGTATGACTCAAATAACTTTAAATTTTACTAAAAAATGATGGAGATTGAGGTGGTCTTTGAAGAAATTGTTATGATCTCTTAGCTAAGTAGCTGTTGGAAAAAAAAAATAACTCTTCCACAGAAGTCCACAAAAACAAATTGGTTCTTGTAAACAATCTACAAAATAATCTTATGTAATATTTAGCCCAAATGTTTTATTATATTCTATGTCTAAATGTTGTGCTAACTAAAATGGTGACTTAGAATACAACTATAAAAGACGAGTGTTTTTGTAAAAGAAAGAACTAACTAATATACCCTTACTTTGGTATATTTTTAATAGAAAATTAGTAATAACATAATATATGTCCCATCTTATATTTTTTTTATTAATAACTAATATATACCTAAAACCCCTTTATTTGACATACTTTTAATGTCAAATTAGTAATACACTAATACTTATTTAATATTTTATTCATTTTATAAAATTAAATGAACAAAACATTCCACATCTCTTAAAAATCAACCACAATATTCACACCATTATTCTTCAAGAATTTGATTTCTTCCACTTATCTCCCAAACTGTTTTCTTCCATATCTTTACAAAATCAACTCAACATTAAGCCAAACAACAAAGTTTTGAAATGATATTGAATTTTTGTTTTGAATAATGTCCTTATTTTTAATATAATTTTGATGATAAAATCCTAATCATATTTAATTATTTTAATATATAAAATTTATTTAAACAAAAAATTATGCAATAAAAACAACATAATAAATACTTATAAAAGATCTAAATATTCTCAACTATTTGTTTACCTATCTTTTAACAAAACGATAAATCTTGGTAAAATATGATAACTTAGTTGAGGGATAAATTTTATATAATAAATAATTTCCAAGATACATACATAATTTTAATTAAGAGAAGATACCTAAAATATTACCGAAATCATGCACACGTGAAATATATACATAATCTAACAAACTAGAAAAATGGAATAATTCATTTAACTAGATCATTATTTAAGAAAAATAAACTCTTGTATTTAGAACTAGAATTAGATTGCACCATAGTTTTATTGGATTGAATTTTGATCCCACAAAAATCGTCATTGTTTAGTGGTTTGTATTTTCAAATTTTGGTCGCAAAGCTAATAGAGTTAACCAATCTTCACGTGACCATTAGGTGATTAAAATCAAGTTGCGTAATTTTTTAATTATTAAGACTTAAAATATTTGAAATGTTTCATTCAATTATTAATAAAAATGTTCATGACATTTTAATTATTATTATTCTTATTTTATTTGAGCAATTAATTTTCAAGTTGAGCGCTCTATAAACGATTATAATTCAAAATTTTATAAATAAAATATTTTATTTATTGATATTATTCAAGATTCTTAAATACTTTTATGATTTTCTCAATAAAATTTAAGAGTTTATTTAACCGTAAGTATCCTATCAAATAAGATAATTGTTTCAACAATATTCATTTAATTTACAAGTTTATTAATAACTATAATTAAAATATTTAAAATCGATGTTGTTTATCCTCATAACGACCAAAAATTATATAAATATTTTTTTTTCAAAATAACATATAAAAAAAAGAATAAATTATGTAATAATATGAGTGATAATTTTTTGAATAATTATTTTGCAACCTAAACTTCTAATCTACTCAATTTCTTTACGTAAAATAAGATTAGAATGATTTTATGAAATTATATAATACTAAAACCCGATCTAATTTTTTTCATGTCGAATGGGATATTAGTTGAACCCGATCCAATTTCTCTACTCAATTCTTATCGTAATGCTTATTGTAATGATATATACTAAAATTTAATATATATTGGTTGTATTTTAAACAATAAAATTAGTTGACTCGACAATATAATAGATGAATGTATAAATTACGAATATATAACTAGAATTCTACATACACTTAAAAAAGACTTAAAATATATTTTCTAAAATTAGATAAAAATTATGTCGCAAAAGAGAGATAATAAGATATCATCAAGAATAAAAAGAAAAGAGAGAAATTGAGCGTAAAATTGTAAACTTTGATACCATATTTTCTTTAGTTGGAATACCGCATTGATGTTATAATTTTGATAACGTTATGAGTTGAATTAAATTGTGATTGGTTGAGTTGTAAATTAATCATTATTTGTCTTTATTCTTTTAATTTTATTTTCTAAATAGAGGACATGATTAAAATTATGAAAAATGTTCTCATAATGTTTGTTAGATATCTTATGCTATTTGTTTTGGGATGATGCATGTTTCGGGACTATTGGACAAACATGGATCTGCACATGATTGCAACAAAATATTTTTGTTATAATTTTCATTGAAAAACTCAAACGAAAATTGTAACGTTGAAATATTCGTTAGAATTGTTTTTGAAATTCACTGTAATATGTTTTCATTGGAATTTCATCATTTTCTTGTAGTAAAAGTATGACTCCAAATCAAACTAAAAAATATGCACTATATATAATATTGTGTTCAGTTAATTGTTTTGAAAATTGTTGATAATGATACAAAATATAACATATTTAATGTAATTATCATTTAATTTATGATAATTAGTAATTAAAAATATATATATATATAAGTAGAAAAGTCCTTAAATATTTTATTAGTATTATAATAATTAAAAAAGAGGTCAGAATGATGTTCTACTGAAAAGGTAATATTAATACTATACAAGATGTAAACATGATGTTCTACGTAATAAAAAAAGGTAAAACTACACAACGAGAAAGCTTATAACTGAGATTCCACTCAAAAGTAAAAAAAAAATGATAAAATTAATAAATGTCATATATCAATTGTAGCTAGCGAATGATAAATGTAAAATATACTTGAGATGCAAATTTATAAAAAATATATTTATTTTTTTGTCTTAGAAATCGGTATGTTAGTCATAATTGTTTAGTTAAAAAATTAGTTAATTTTTACCATTAAATTTCTTAATTTTGAAATACTTAATTTTTTTTGTAACCCGTTTATATGTAATATATCATATCATTTCTTTCACATGATATTTGATTTTACCATTGTTTTGTAAATAAAATAAAAATACTATAATTATTTATATCGATGTAAAATAATATATATATATATATATATATCAATACTAATTTAAAATAATAAATAGACCTAAAAGAATCTTATAAAATAATTATAGATCCATGTTACATTAATTTTATTAATTATAAAATAACATTAAATAAAATTGTGGTATATTTTTCTGACATAGATTTAAAATATTCATACTAAGAAAAAAGTCAACTAGATGTAATTGTACAACTATTACCAATATTAAATATGTGAATTAAAAGAAAAAAATAAATCAGTTGTATGTTAAACTATTATTCAATTATTGCTTGAAAGTGAACACCATAATGGTTGTAAAATGTATTTTTTGTGAATATAAACATGAATTAGTTACTTAATATTTTATCAGAACATGGAAATAAATTCAAAACTTTTTAATATTATAAACAATATAAAACTACAATTTTATCAAGTATATTATTATTATCAAACACGTAAAAAGAACGCATTGCATAAAAATGTTCTATAATTCTTTCAACAAATAAAATATTATTTGTGAATAAAATAATAAGAAAAAAAACAAGTAAACCAATAGTAATGCAATGAGGAAAAGAAAAATTCTGAATATTTTTAGAAAAGTATGAATACTAATATCAAATACAAATTTTTTTTAAAATTACTACTTTTTTTGTTGCTAGCATTTAAGTATATGTTCTCTATAAGAAATTTGTTCTCATAAATAATGATTCGATATTATCATAAGATAGACCACAAACTTTAATAATGACTTCATAATAATAAAGTTAACAGATGACTAAGAGTATCACAATATAGTATAATTCAAATTCTTCTCATCTGAAATATTTTGACAAATACTTCTCAATATTGTCTCATTGTTTTGTTTTATTATTATTGAAGAATCAATAAAAGATCTTTATCTTGAATTTTTTTAAGCATTAGTTATGATACAAAAGATTGGACAATAAATGCAATAAATGTTATTAGACATATAAATATTGCAAATCCGAAAGAATATGCAAGACATCTATCTTTCAAATTAATAACACTGAAAAGGGAATGTTTGATTCTGATTAAAATATTTTTGAATGTTGAATAAGTTGTCACTTTTTGATAAGAATATTTACAATCATAACTGTGTATTGTCCTCGTTCATATGCGCAATTTTTTTAGAGTACATATTTTCATTTAATGTGTGATGATTTCAAAAAAATAATTTAGTTTATTCAAAGAAGTACATGATTTTGGAAAATCAAATTTTATTTAATGATGAAATTCGTTCTCACCTCATGAGGTAAGTACCAATTTGTCTATGTGGAGAGAGAGAGAGAGAAATGTAGTACTTTATACAGTGTGTAATAGAAATATCAAGAATTTTAATGACACAAATATCAAGAAATTTAATGCTACAATTGTTTATTTCACAGAGATACTTAGAGATACTTATGAACTATTAGTAGAAATACCTTATAATGATCATACAATCATAAAGTTTGACTATATGTTTGGCTAAAGTATTTCTAAGTGTGGAATAAAACAGACGTTTTGCCAAATTAATTAAGAAGAATTTTGCAATACTATTGATGTATTTGAATTCAACGAGTATAGTTGTTTCTTATGAGAAAATCAAAACCAAAATAAAAGAAAATGACTCTTGAATCTAACATAAATAAGTAAAAGAACTCATGCATCTATAATATACATTATGTCTTTATTTAGTCATTTATTGTTTTTTCATTAGGAACTCATTTTTCATATATTTTTGTTGGAGTTGTAGTATGATATTTAAATCTGAAATATTTTGACAAATACTTCTCAATATTCTCTCATTGTTTTGTTTTGTTTTGTTTTGTTATTATTGAAGAATCAATAAAAGATCTTTATCTTGAATTTTTTTAAGCATTAGTTATGATACAAAAGATTGGACAATAAATGCAATAAATGTTATTAGACATATAAATAATCCAAATCCAAAAGAATATGCAAGGTATCTATCTTCCAAATTAATAACACTGAAAAGGGAATGTTTGATTTTGATCAAAATATTTTTGAATGTTGAATAAGTTGTCACTTTTTTATAAGAATATTTTCAATCATAACTGTGTATTGTGCTCGATCAGACGCGCAATTTTTTTAGAGTACATATTTTCATGTAATGTGATGATTTCAAAAAAATAATTTAGCATATTCAGAGAAGTACATGATTTTGGAAAATCAAATTTTATTTAGAGATTAAATTCGTTCTCACCTCATGGGGTAAGTACCAATTTGTCTATGTGGAGAGAGAGAGGGGAGAGAGAGAGAGAGAGAGAGAGAGAGAGAGAGAGAGAGAAATGTAGTACTTTTTACAGTGTGTAATAGAAATATCAAGAATTTTAATGACACAAATATCAAGAAATTTAATGCTACAATTGTTTATTTCACAGAGATGCTTATGAACTATTAGTAGAAATACCTTATAATGATCATACAATCATGAAATTTGACTATATGTTTGGCTAAAGTATTTCTAAGTGTGGAATAAAACAGACGTTTTGCCAAATTAATTAAGAAGAATTTGCAATACTATTGATGTATTAGAATTCAACGAGTATAAATGTTTCTTATGAGAAAATCAAAACCAAAATAAAAGAAAATGACTCTTGAATCTAACATAAATAAATAAAAGAACTCATGCATCTATAATATACATTATGTCTTTATTTAGTCATTTATTGTTTTTTCATTAGGAACTCATTTTTCATATATTTTTGTTGGAGTTGTAATATGATATTTAAATCTTCTTATATTACGACAAAATCTTTTAATTTAAAATAAAATGAATGAAAAGTTTATTTATTCTACATTTTATTTTGTTCCTGCAATCATATATGTAATAAATTAATTAATTTATCTTACTAAATTTAATCGGTAAAAAACATTCGTCGCCACGTGCATCGCACGTGCACTTTACTAGTTATTATCAAAATATTTGTGTCTCAAATTTATTATTATTATTATTGTTGTTGTTGTTGTTGTTATTTTTATTTTTATGTGTGCAGTTTGTTGACGATGACAACAAATGCTACTTGGACATCAACTACACTTTTGATATCCAGAAAGATTGGCCCTCCAAATAAAGTTGCCAGATTCTTAAATTTGAAGTTCAAACAATATGCAGATGCAATGCAATGATGTGACCAATAATAAACTCAGAACAAACACATCATTGCTCATTGCCAACACTAGAATTAGTTATATATTTACGTAATTTTCTTTATAACGCCTTTTCTTTTAGTAACAGTGTGTTATGTTGGTGAATTAATTGTATTTCTAGTTACATATACAATGAGACAGACAAGTACGAAACATATAAATGTTGCGAACATGATTGTTTGATTTTGTAGTTCAAAATAATTACAAGTATGGAACAAAAACTGGACTAGATGTAAAGACGTTATTTATAAGTTTTTTATTCTAGTTAAAAAAAATTCTTTGTGCTAAATAACGTTTGTTTGTTTTTTAACTTGATAATTTTCACACTTTTTTTAGGCAGAAAATGCAATGAACTTGCTCTTGATTATGCTTGTTGGTATTAGCTAGTTTTTATATTTCTTTTATCATTGTATCTCTTAGATAAATTAGTCGATATTCATGAGTTAGGCATATGTTTATTGCAATAAAAGAATATTGTCTTTAGTGTCATTATTAATATATAATGTTCTACGGAAGTAAGAAACTGTAATGAATATATAGTGATACAATGAGACTCTCCCTTAAAATGAAAATGAGTACATGATATCAATCCTAGTCATTAATTTATGTAGATCCATAGATCATATTAATTAATTAGAATATACATTAATTATATAATAAAAAATAATTATTATATTTAAGTTAATTATATGATAACTAGATTAATTTATTTGCGTTGACCGGTCAACCCCAACACCTCCTCCCTCAGCCACGTCATGGACATCCTCCCAAAGTCCACCTCCCTCCATCGAGCCACCCGCCGCAGCCGTCATTGGCCCCCAACGCCTGCTCCCTCAGCCACATCCCAGACCTCCCGGCGTCCTCCACGGTGGCTGAGAGCTTGTTCTCCGACGTGAAGCTGTAGTTCGATGCCACCACCACTGCCCTCAGCCCCGACACCAGCCAGAGGCAGCTGTTGTGGGCGTCCAGCCACGTCCGATCGCGAGACAAAACCCACTGTCGTGGAAGAATAAGAGTATGGGGAGGACGGACAGCGGCGAGCGGGGCTTGTAGAAACGGAGGCAGAGGTCGTGGTCCTCATCATAATGGAGGTTTGCTTAGACGAGAACAGCGAGGAGGGAGGTAAACCGCTGCTGAAAATCAGATTTTGGATTTTGGGGCAGGGGTTGTGTTTGAGAATTTGATTGCAATTTAGAAACTTAAAAGTTATTGCATGTATTCATTGAGATCAATCTATAATTTATTTAAAGTTTGAATAATTACACTTTTGTCCTTAGATTTTTTATCATAAAATAGTGCACATTTAGTTTATTTATTGTCCATATTTAGGTAATACAAGTGCATATCTTAGTTTATACATAATGCATATACTTAGTTGAGACTTGAGAGCATAAAGACAGTAAAACGCTCTAGGATATTGTTGTAATTTCATATTTTGACTGCACATTTAGTTCATACGAAATGCGCATTTTGTTCATACGTACGAAGTGCATATTTAGTTCATAAACAAGGCATAATTAGTTGATATTATTGTTGCAAATTTAGTTCATTAAGAATACATATTCATTTCATACTAAATGCATATATAGTTCATATAAACTGCATATTTCGAGTGCAAATTTACTTCATACACCATGCATATATGGTTCATAAAAAAAATGCATATTTAGCATACATACTTAGTTCATATCAACTGCATAATTAACATACATATTTGTTTCAAACCAATCAATATATTTGTTTTATAATATAATTAGTTTGATATAATATTATATAATTGTTGTAATACATAATGCATATTTAGTCCATTATAGTGCATATTTAGTTCATGTAAGGTCTAAGCATAGACATTAATTTGTGTAGAACAATGACTCATATTAATTGGAATTCACATTAATTATATAATAAAAAATATTTGTTATTATATTTAAATTAATTATATAAAATACACATTTAATTGAATATTTTCACTGCACATTTAGTTCATACGTAGTGCATATTTAGTTCATGAACAATGCATATTTAGTTGATATTATTGTTGCACATTTAGTTCATAAAAATTGTGTACTTAATTCATACCGAATGCATAATTAATTTATATCAACTGCATATTACGAGTACACATTTACTCCATACATAATGCATACTACAATCAACAATCAAATCCAGAAGTCAATTGTCAATGTCGGATGTTGCGTCACTTTTTTTCATGAACCAATTTGAATGCCCATGCCTCGAACGACCTTCGTCTTTGAGCATCGGTGACCTACAATACCCGAGGGGGTCCCGGCGAAAAAACTTCTGACACTCAAGTCAGAACTCACTCAATAACTGTACATGAAAATTATGTAAGTAAAGGCGTAGAATGCGATGATCAGATGAAGAAGAATTCGTCACCCTTATATAGGGTAATTATCTTGGTGCCCAAGAGAGTCCTTGTTAGGGAAGAGATCCAAACAGATCCTACTTCCTAACTTACCATGTCTGTTTCTAGGAAAGAGTCCTTGAGCAAGTGATTATTTCTTTCTTACTAGGATTCTATTTGCCTTATCTATTCAACCCATAAATCCTTAGGTCATAATTTATACCTCCTGAACTGAATTGTCTGTTAGCTTAGGTGTATGTTTGTTAGGTAGTGTGTTATTCTCTACTGGTTGGAATAGGTTCTCTACTTGTCGAAAGAGGTAATTTCCCCTAGTAGGAGTTTTTTAGTTTTAGTGTGAGGATTAGGCGTCCAACTTTTTAGTAAGTGTTCTTTGTCGCTGTCAGAAACTTGGATACCTCTTCTTTGTGCTTTAGTGTTTAGTTTAAGACACTTCTTTTAGTGCCCCTCCCCAATTTCACCTTTTGATGGATTTTTTTGGCTACTTTAGGGGGTGATTATTTATGGATTCAACTAGTTTTTATTTGGTTTGTTTTTTAATTATAGCTAAATATGAAAAAATGTGATATGGTTAGTTGTTAGTGAATATATTAAAATAATATTAAAATAAAATAATTAAGATTGATTTGATATAAAGTAAGAGAAAAATGATTGGACGTGATGGTTAGTTAAAATTATGTGAGTGGATGAATAGTGAATTAAGTTGATGTGATGTGTAAGAATTATTGATTGATATTATTTAACTATATTGATAATATTGATGATAGTGAGTTTGAGTTAAAGTTGAGTTAAATTTGAATTTTGTTTAGTTTTTTCACTATTCTATTTATATTCAATCGCCCCCTTAGCATTCGAATTTAATCTTCTAATTTTTTCGTTTGAGAAATATAATTTATCGTTTCAAAAATAAATTATAATAATAAATGAAAAAAAAAATGAAAAGGAAAGAAAGAAGAATAATAAAATAGAGCACACCTCCACCCGGTTTTTGGAAAAAAACAAACTAAAAATCTGCCGTGGGAGATAGCGGGTGCGGGGCCCACACAGCACACAATACAAATTCAGGTATAACAAAATCTTTAAAATATCTATGTCTAAAACCCTAAAAACCCTTTTCCACAATTTTATAAAACAAATCCTACTCTCCGAGCTCGCATTGATGGCGACGCTGACATTTTCAAACAATGTGTTCGAATTGACTTCGCCGCACTCTTCTGCGGCCTCTAATTCTGTCGGATTTTCTCCATTGCTTTCCAAAAATGCGCGTGGTGGTATTACCTTCTCCAGTTCTCGCCGGAAAAGTTTCTACTGTTCCAAACGGCATCGGAATGCGGTTTATTGCTCGTTTATACCTGTGGACACTGCTAAAATTAAGGTCATCGGCGTCGGTGGGGGTGGTAACAATGCTGTCAATCGCATGATTGGCAGCGGTTTACAGGTTGCAAATCCAATTCTCTTACGGTTGTTTCTTCTGTATTTGTACTGCGCTTTTGTAATGGCTTTCGTTTCTATACTTATGTTGGGTTTTCGTGGCACTAAATATTCTGGGCGTTTTAGTTGTTGCTATTTCATGGGTGGTTACGACTTACGAGTAATGTTGGTGACCTTGATAAGCATTTTTTCTTGCCATAGGATTCTGGTTATTATTCTTTCAGCTTTATTGAAGATGCTTTCAAATGTGATAATTTTGACTTCCTGTAAGCTATATTTCGATGCCATGCTTTAGATGCCACTCGTTGGTCGTTATTTGAAGAAGATATGGCAAATGTGAAAAGTATCTTTTTGTGTAAATCATCAAGTGGATGTGGTTGAAGTTCCTGTGTATTCTGTTCTCTGGTCAAGGGCATTTCAATCTTGTTGGTTTAATGATTATATCTAAAGCATGATTGTATCGGTTTTGAATGGCAGGGAGTGGACTTTTATGCCATAAATACAGATGCTCAGGCTCTGTTACAATCTGCGGCTGAGAACCCCATTCAGATTGGAGAGCTTTTGACTCGTGGACTTGGTTAGCATTCCTCAAACTTTTTGCTTGAACTTGCTTGCAGAGTACATCATTTACAGAGTGTAAAAAAACATGACGCTCACTCACACGCTTGACATGCAATATACTTTTCTTATAGTTGCAGGCTTTACATAATGGTATTCGTTCAGAGGGTTGAATGTCAATGTGAGGTAACACTTGCTGCTTGCATGCAGGTACAGGTGGCAACCCACAATTGGGCGAGCAGGCTGCAGAAGAATCGAAAGAATCAATTGCAAATGCCCTCAATGGATCAGATATGGTGTTTATAACTGCAGGGATGGGTGGTGGTACGGGTTCTGGTGCGGCTCCTGTTGTAGCACAGATAGCAAAGGAAGCTGGATATCTTACTGTCGGTGTTGTGACCTATCCTTTCAGCTTTGAAGGGCGCAAAAGATCATTGCAGGTAGGCCTCCGTGTGTGTGAAAGAACAAGGAGAGTCAATATTTCTCTTCTCATGGTTCTTAGACTATGAGCTTTCTCTGAATTGGATGGTATGCTATGTTGCTCTTTCTCATTAAAAGCCATGATAATACTGATTTAGAGTATAAGAATTGCTTACGGAGACCATCTCTTTAATATGGTTCATGCAGTGCCCCGTAGACTTATTCCATCGCTGACTCGATATTGTTAATGATATGTAACTTTCAAAATAAAAATACATCCAACAAATATGATGAAACATTTATATTATTGAATTCATTCGCTATTTCCTTGCTCTTCCTTTCCGTCTTCTTCTTCATCGATTTTCTTTTTCCTTATTAAAGAAACTGCATTAGGTTCAGTTTATGGTTTACAGCAAATGCCCTCCTGAGTGGTGTCATATTTCCTGCAAATTTCTATAGTCTCATGATTTCCCTAGTTTGCATGTTGTGCTTTTCCAGGCTCTTGAAGCCATTGAAAAGCTCCAGAAGAATGTGGATACACTAATAGTGATTCCAAACGACCGTCTACTGGATATTGCTGATGAGCAGACTCCACTTCAAGATGCTTTCCTTCTAGCAGATGATGTGCTCCGTCAAGGTGTCCAAGGGATATCCGATATAATCACTGTAGGTGTTATAAGAATCTAACAGTGTTTCATCTAAAATATCTTGCTCCGTAAGAAGTTTTCTCAATTTTCCCAGACGATGCTTAAATATCTTGTCTTCTCATTGAGCAGTATACCTTTTTGTTTCAGAAATGCAAAATAGCTCCAACATTTATATAGTAGTTGACAAATCGTTCGATGAATTAATATTCTGGTAGTTTTACTCAAGTAAAATGCAAGGATCTTCAGTCCAAAGGCTATGTTCAAGAAATGCCACTGATGTTGCCCCTAATTGCAAGAAATAAATATCCAATTGATATTTGTTTAACTTTACAAAATTGCATCTACAATAAAGTTGCTTGTTAAATCTTCACAAAATATTCTGTTGCCTTTCTCCTCAAGCTCTTGTCTGTGATACACGATAAGACAGTATCTTTTTGTTTCTTTTCTTTCTTTATTTCTTGATATTGAGAAACCTCTTTCCTGGTTTCTGTTAATTATCTCCAACTTTATCCTCATATCGGACCAAATTTTGAGAAAAAATCAAGTAATTCTTCTTGTTTCTGCAGATCCCTGGTTTGGTGAACGTGGATTTTGCAGATGTTAAGGCAGTCATGAAGGACTCTGGTACTGCCATGCTTGGAGTGGGTGTTTCCTCCAGTAAGAACCGCGCAGAAGAAGCAGCCGAGCAAGCAACTTTGGCACCACTGATTGGCTCTTCTATCCAATCTGCTACTGGAGTTGTGTACAATATTACCGGAGGGAAGGATATAACCCTGCAAGAAGTAAATAGGGTGTCACAGGTGGTACCTTTCTGTTGCCCTTTTTTTTTCCTTTTTCCTTTTTATTTTATTTTTGTGGGTTCTAAGAATCATTATTTGCACAAGTTTTAGGTCTAATCACAGTGACTGCCATTGAGGTTTTGCTTAATCACATAAAATCCATTTGCATTTGAAATTAATACATGTATTTTACAAATGCTGCCTATACGAGGGAATAGATGTAATTTACAACCTCAAGGTACGATTGTCTTTAACCTTCATACTTGAGAAATCAGTGGATTTTCTTACTTTGGCAATTTTGTAGTTATCCACATAATTGTACTTTGTCTCATGGGTTTTGGGTTTTGGGTTTAATACTGTAATATCTCACATGACATTGTTCATTTATGGATTCAGAACCACTGCTCAACTTTAAGGAGTTTTTAATTTGTTTTTTCAATAAAAGAAAATCCAAGCTATTGGATTTTTTTTCTAATTTCCTATTTTTTTGCCGGATGATCTCTTCCAGGTTGTTACGAGTTTAGCAGATCCTTCAGCAAATATCATTTTTGGGGCTGTTGTGGACGAGCGATATAATGGAGAAATACATGTCACGATAATTGCAACTGGTTTCACTCAGTCGTTTCAAAAGACTCTTCTGACCGAGCCACGTGGAGCAAAGTTAGCAGATAATAACAAGTCCACTGGTAGACTAGACAGCTTGAAATCACCACTTATTCTAAATTCATCAAAATCTCCTGTCACTAGTCCTCAGGCGCCTCCTTCTCGACGGCTCTTCTTTTAGCCTCACCTTTCTTTTCCTGCTCAGAATTATATTATTTTGTTGATCTGCAGTATCATATGTTGATACGAAATTTGTAGATGCGATCTATTTTTGTTGTATTCAGTAGCTGCAAATGGTTGTGTTTGTATTGAGTGGACGGTGAAATTTGATTTAGAAATTCCATTGTAAAGTTAAATTTTTAGGTATCTTAATGAACTCAATATTCAGTAGCTACAAATGTTTGTGTTTACATGGAGTGGACCCTGATCGCAGACCCAACTTCCGGTGAGATCACAACTTTTATTGTGAGGTAGCCAAATAATTAGGGGGTTGATTTATTTTGCTTTATAAATAAAAATGTATATTTATAATTTGAAATTTTGTAGTTCTATATATATTGTTTTTTTCACAGTATTATTTTTTCGCGTGAAAGTATATATCAGTATAAGTACTATATTGTATTGATTTATCAAAAGAAATACATTTAAATGAGTTTGTGAGTTTAATTGTATTTTATAATTATTGATCAGATTTTGGTTGGGTTGCTCCATGACTCCACCACTGAAATTCAAAGTTTAGTTTAGTTCACTAGGTGTTATGGACAAATATCTAAATTATGGTGTTCAAGAAGAATACTTGAGTTAGTCGTGCATACAGTTAAGTCTTTTTTCCTCTCCTTTTTACATGCATGCACTTGGTTTAGCCTAATTATAAGTAAATACACTCATTAGTTTCCTAAACTGCAAAATCTGTAAAGCAACACAGAAAAATCGTGAAGCGGAAAGCTCGATAATTGGATGTTAGAACTTAGAAGCATCAGAAAAGCTGACAAGTTTCTGTAAAACCCCTTAATCGAGAGCAGTATTAGAAAAGAAGCTCATGGTAATACAAAAGAATAAGCTCTGGCAAAACCCCCAACATAATTGAAATCTCACACGAATTCCATATTTTACCGCTCAAGCCACAATCTTATGTCACAGCAACTCAGAAGACAATGAGATTGCCCATTCAAGAACCAATTGAGTACTATGTTTTCTACTCTTCCTCGCTATAAGAAGTAATCTGGAGCTGGCTTTCTAGCCAACAGTCCTCTCGATTCCTGCATTCACCCAATAATGTATCAGCACTTCCGTAAAAATTCACAATTTGTATAAGTTGGATGGAACTTGAAAACGAGTTTTCAAATCCGCATGGAGAAAATTGAAAACACGTCAGATGTTTGACCTTGAAAAGCAGCAAGAATTGCTTTGCAGAGCAAGGCAATACAAAAAAGTTCAGTAATAATAAATAACAAACAAGAAAACAGAGTATATAAATAAAGCAAAAAAAACAATTGCTTGCATATATGATACGATATACCTGTGGAGCTGCTTGAAATACACGAAACTCCTTTTCAAGACTTTCATTTAGCTCGAGAATCGCAGCTATGTTTCCACATCTGCAGGACAATTAAAATCTCATGACAGATTCGAGTCCATATGAAAGCAATGCCAACAACAGTTAACTATTACTAATTTATTTACTATCATCACCACCAAACACCAATAGCATTATTACCTGTAACAGTAATTCGGTGCTGACCAGACTGTAACTATCTGGTCCTTAAACATCCATTTATAGCCATCCATTACTAACTGATGGGCACGGCATATATAGTCAATCTTATTGGTGTGATTAAAAGTAGTAACAACACTGCCACCGAATAAAAATCCGGCCCCACGTGGACTAAGGCCCCAACCATCCACAATATCTTCTGGATCTGACCATAGCAGATCACACATGGCACCATCATGCGGGACTTCTTGTTTTCGATCAATTGTCCGAATCTGGCATGTCACGAACATTTTTTATGAAGAAAAAAAAAAAGAAAAAAAAAAGAAGAATTCTTCTCAGGAGAACACTAAATTCAATATACTTTTTAAACCTGGTCTAACGTAGAAATTGCAGGAGACAATCCACCGTGAACACAGAATATCCTGTTCTCGATTAGCGCAGACAGACTGCAAGAGATGGCAAAAAAAAATAAGTGTTCGAGACCAGTTGAATCTGAATGTGTAATGTAAGAGCATGCAAGCACAAAGATGCGAAAAGATGCATTCAAATTTCAAAGGCAACAACAAATGAGACTTTAGTATATCATTCAGTTTCTATGAGTTTCACCATTGGAAAGGGTTAAAGAGTTTCTCTGTTTGCATTTAACAAGACTTGGTGAAATATCTAAAAGATTGCAACCTCATGTAATCAAAAACGTCAGTGCAGTATCTCCAAACATTGATAGAACCATATTTCCGTAGACACTCGTCATAGAAACCATACACCTGAAATCACAGAGAAGGATACTAATTAGTTTATGCAAAATTGTACACACCAAATCTCACACAAAATGATTTAAAGATTCAAAACCTGTGTTATCTGTCGGCTCTCATGGTTTCCCCTGATTAGAGTTATCCTATCGGGATACCTTACCTATCATTGCACTAAACTGTTAGTTGAGCAATAGATCTAATATGCAGTTAGTAAATAAACAAATTTACCTTCAACGCAAGTAGAAGCAGGAATGTCTCGACAGAATAAAATCCTCTATCAACGAAATCTCCAAGAAACAAGTAATTTGTTTTTGGACAGTCGCCCCCTACTTTAAACAGCTCTTTCATGTCATAGAACTGCCCGTGTATGTCACCGCAAATCTACATGAACCAGTGGGTAAAACATGTATAAGGGCCAGATGACAACTGAGGTCAATATTTAACGCACCGGAGCTCGCTTTTCTGATACTCACACACGTCCTCACGATCAGTCTTAGAATAAGTGTAATATTGCTTGACTGAATTTAAAATGTGATGCATTAGACACATCCTCCTTCACCTCCAAAAAAGGAAAACTATCAAAGCATAAGATTTCCTCAGTGAACTCAAGAATGTTCAAATCTACTTAAAGAACATGTTCCTGATAATTTTAACCAACCAGTTTTGATACACATATTTTTTTATCCCAGACTCCCATTTTTGCATAATAAACCACTATATGAGAATACAGCAACTACACCAACAAATCTAACCATGCAGAGACAAATCCAATAAACCCAACAGATTTTCCCCCATTCACAGAAGCTCCGATCAAAAAAGTAAACCCAGAACCACTCAACAACCCACAAGCCGAAAAAATAACACAAATACACAATACACTCGAGCAGAATTACCCGCATAGGAAATCCAAAATCATGTACCTCCTTTCAAAACCCTATTGAAAAAAAAACCACCAAATTCGAGTTAACACCAACCAAAAAGAAAGAAAGTAAAACAAAAAAACAAAAATCCTTGTTACTTACAGTGACAGGGGCATCGACGCGCTGAACATTTCCCTCTTCCACGAGGATCTCCATAGCTTTGAGACACAGGTCCTTGACTTCAGATTCCTTGAGGGGCTCGCATCTCTTCAGCTGCTCTATCTGCCTGTCCAGGTCTGACATCTTCTCCTGGATTGGAATTCCAAAACCCTGTGCTAGTTAATTGAATCCAGTTCGAGCTTCAGACATAAAAAAAATCCGCGAATCTGAATCGGACTATTCCTTGCTGTTCTTGTTTGAGCGCCAGAGTGAATATTTGTGCGGGCTTTCAATTTGTTTGTTTGTGTAAGCTGGGGCTTTGTGGTTGGTGCTCAAAAGGGAATAGGTCTCTTCAGTTGGGGTGCGGGGCTGCTGTGAGTCAGTGACCCACGGATTGGGGGGGCAACGGTGCAAAACTTACACAGCACCCTCTGCTGTGTATTTAATGCCATTCTAATGGTCTAAATTTTACCTATCTCTTATTTTTTTTAAATATCATTTTAACTTTACTATTATTATCCAAATAAATGTCGTTTTTTATCTTTTGTATATATTTTTTTATTATTACCTAATAAATACACTACATTCTTTTCATATTCACTCTTCATTTTTTCCCAAAACATAATTCTCTATCTTCATTAAAGAGAGTTATTATTGACAAAAAATCCTTAATTACTGCGCACCTTCTTAAAACGACACTTATTATGAATATGAGGGAGTATATTTTTTCTTTAATCACACTTGTATAAAAAAACACAGCACAAACTTGTATTAATTACTACATTAAAATGCAAGAGGGAGAGAGAATGTTTCACATTCTTCTAATAATAGCTTTCAGTTGAATTTATATGAAAGTGGGATTGTTGTAATTTTAAACATTTAATTGCTCATAATATTATAGTTTTTTTTTAATCTAATTTCTTTATGTAACAAATTTGTAAAATCACTTAGAAACAGTGGATTGAAAAGTTTAATATATTACCTGAAAACGCAATGGATTAATATTTTTTGAAAAAGTTTTATTATATTATCTAAATGATATATTTCACCTTTACAAATAATATATGTACACTAACTCAATTGTTTTGGTTACGTTTTTTAATCTAATTTTTTAAAAAGTATAATTATTCAAAATTTTACAAGTTTCATATTTCAATTATATATTACCTAAAAAAATATGGATTGATATTTTTTTATTTTAAAAAGTGTATTGCAATTATATTACTTCTTTGCAATTATATTTTAATTAATATTTGATATTTTATCAATCAACTAACTCAAACATCATCCATATAAATTAACGCCATTCCAATTTGAAAGCTCTCATGTGAATCATCAATATTTGGTGTGCTTAAATTAAATCCTCAATCATTCGTAGCATCAATCCTACAAAATACAAACAAAATCTAAAAAAAAATCTTGAAAAAAGGTGTAAAATCTGTAAATAAAAACAAAAAAGAAGAAAGAGAAAATACCTTTCAATTTCAAAGTTATTCCAATGTATGAACCCGTACTCCAACTCTTTCTCAGGATTTAACTCATATTTGTTTGCTTGTTCATGGTCTTCATTGACATTTTACAAAACTTTAATCAATTATAGGCTTTTCTTGGTTGAAGGGTGCAGCAGGAAGTGAAAAGTGTATTCAGGANGTGTATTGAGGAAAAAAAAAGAAAAGGAAGTAAAAAGTGTATTGAAGAAGCCATTTATTTATGTTGTGATTAAAAAAAAAGTGAGAAAACCTGGACCATTACAATGGTCATTAAAAGATACAGCAGAGGGTGCTGTGTGAATTTGCACCGTTGGGCCCCCGAATTCGTGACCCACTAACAGTCCCTACAGTTAGTTTAATGACTTTTGATTAACATTGTATTAAATTAAACAGTTAGCTTAATGATCCTTAGATTAACATTAGATTAAATAAAATCTAAGGGTCCAAAATTAAGAACAAATAAATTGTTGCTCCCGTCTATACATCCTTGTATCCAATTTTTATTTTATTTTTTTTTAATAAAAAATAGAGAATGAGTTAGTATTTCAAAGATCCAATCATGAACTGTCATATGTTAATATTCCATAGGAAAATGGGTCATGTTGTTGCCGCTGCAATTGATTTGGCACATGATGCATGATGTCGGACTCACCCAAAAGCAACACATCACTTGAGGATTAGAGAACCAGTGAGTTGAGATAAACTTGGATGCTTATTAGAAGATCAAAAGACTTATTTGCGATTAAAAAGAGAAGAAAAAACATGGTATATGATGAATTGAGACTAATAATACGATACTTTGAACAAAGAAAAAAAAAGACCCTTCATTCTTTTTTATTCAATGCAATTCAACAGTGACAAACTAGTCACTAATATATTTTGGGTTGATTCGAGAATTATTGTTGATTATGGTGATTTTGGCGATGTAATTACATTTGACACGAATTATGGCACAAACAAAGGTTTGAGACCCTTAGGTGTGTTCACGGGTTATAATCATCACAGGAAAATGGTCATTTTCAGAGGTGCACTTTTGTATGATGAGACCACTGATTCGTTTGCTTAGCTTTTCGAAACTTTCTTGAATGCTCGTGGAGTTAAAGAGCCTCAAACCATTTTTACGGAGCAGGATACGACTGTGGAAAATGTTTTGGCAAAAGTACTGAAAAATACACGACATGGACTTTGCACGTGGCACTTGGAATCAAAAGGGGATCCAATATTTGGGTTGGTGTATGAAAGACGATTCTTCCTTCTTGATGGAGTTTGAGAGATGTGTGTTTGAATATTTCGAAGAGGATGAGTTTGAAAGAGAATGGAAGAAACTACTTGATAGTTATGATTTGCATGATAATGAATTGCTATCGCATACATATGGTCTGAAGGAAAAATGGGTCAAATGTTACATGAAGTATTCATTTATCTTAGGAATAAGAAGCACTCAACTGAGTAAGAGTTTAAATAGTGATTTGAAATCATATTTAAAATGTGATATGAATATTTTTTATTTTTCCACACTGTTTGATAAGGTTATCGATGAATAAAGAGAGCAGAAGCTTAAAGCCGACTTTGATGCGAGACAGAAGACACCTCTACTAAAATTAAATGATTCCTTATTGTTGATGCATGTGTCACAGTTGTACACTCCTGAGATTTTTACACTCTTTCAGATTGAATTTCGTGCTTCTTTAGAGTATTGAAAAAAGAAAAAGATGAGACTCGACATTCGCTTAAATATGTGGTTCGTCTTCTTGGTTTAAGAGAAAATGAGATGAAAATACTCTTTGATCCTACAAAAGATTGGGTCGTCTGTAGTTGTAGAAAGTTCGAAATCACGGGAATATCGTGTTGTCATATCCTAAAAGTATTTATTGTTCAAGATTTAATGTGCATTCCACAAAAGTACATATTGAAAAGGTGGACAAAAGGCGTGAAAAGTGCTCAAAGCATGAACACAAAAATTTTTCATGGTGCAGAATATGTTATAGAATGGGTTTAAAGACTTCAATCTCAACTCTTAAGGATGACACTTCAAGATTCCGTCCATGAAGAGACACGAAGTTGTATGGAGAAAATGGTGTAGGAGTGTAATAAACAAGTTTTTGCTTTTGCAACAAATAATGAGATATCAAATGAAGAAGTTCATTCGTTCAACGTAGATGGTAGAATTGAAAATATTAAAGGCTTGAAAAAAAAGAGCGGAAAAGGGGAAACAAAGCAGCCAAAGGGTTGGATTGAAAAACATGTTGGGAAGTTCAAAAAATCAAAATAATTAAAAGAGGTACTCGTTATATTTTATAAGTTTGATAAATTGCATTGTTACTTTCTAACAGTATTTAATTTTATTTTATTTTTTAGATTTCCTTGTTGTCATGAAGGCTTGTCAGTAAGTAGCTAATTCATAAGAAAACTTAAATTCTAGAGCAGTGGTGCACCATCAACAAGAAAATGTGAATGTTGATGATGTTTTATCTCACTTGTTGGTATCTCAAACGGTCCATTTATCTCAAAACTATAATGGTACAGGTTTTTAAATAAGAATAAAATACTAATCACAATATTTTTGTTATTGATATTTGTCATGTGTTTGTTGCAGTTTACAAGTATTCCAAAAAGATGAGATTAAGGCTATTTCAAGTGAAATGCAAGATAATTATGAATTATTTTTTTAGACTTNTTTTTTTACGAAACGATAGATATTCATTCAAATGAAAATAGTCGTTTTACATGCTGGAAGCTAACTAGCCCCACAAATAACAAAGAGAGGCCACCCTTAAAGGTGCCTAGAACTAAAAAATACAATAAACCATCCTGGACTGAAGCAAGGCAAAGCTTGAGCACTTAAGTTCAGCAACAATAACAATGAAGGCAACAATACTACCACACCAACACATTCCAGCTGCTTCCTAAGATCATGACTGGGCCGCCACTGAACTCCCATGAGACCTAGCCTCTCATATCATCTCTTATTTTAAATCTGTTGAACCTGCAGCCAACCCAAATTCCCTCCACTCTCTCCAAGCAACCTCTGCAATCTCTTTTTCAGGCATTCTTTCATTCTTAAACTTCCACAAGTTCCTCGACTTCCACAACCACCACAAAGTGTAAGTGGTTAGTTGAAGTCGGTCTTCAGAAATTATTCTTCTATCCACTTTGCAAGCATTTCACCACCATTCTTTAAAATCATAGTTGTAATCATTCAATCCATTCCAACTCACCTCGACAGCTTCCAAACTCTTTGTGCTCGATCACAATGGAACATAACATGCTCAATGGTCTCTTCTGCTTCTCCACACCCATGGCAGATAGGATCAACATCCATCCCCCTCCTTATGAGCTTGACATTAACTGGGAGTGCTCCACTATAACATTTTCACAAGAAATGTTTAAGTTTTCCTTTCACCTTCAATCTCCAACTTCTTCTTCTAACCTTCTTGCTCTCCCTATCCCCTTCACTTGTCTCAGCTTCATCCAAGGACAGCAGTTTCTGTTGTAAAATGTGCTTATAGGCTCCTGCTACTGAGAACAGTCCTCTAGCATCAAAGGTCCACACCCATTTATCATTAGCACCTGGGTTTAACTTCAACTCCCTTATCAATTTTCTGTCCTCTTCCTTAAATATCTTAGCAAGCAGCTCCTCATTCCATTCTCTTCCTCCATCCACCATAAGGTCTCTTACCCACTCCACTCTACTACTACAACTCTCATTTTTCTCTGGGATACCTGTTTCTGCATTTAGAATCCAAGGGTCACTCCATACTTTTGTGCTCCATCCATTCTTCACCTGAATTCTGAACCCTTGATGATATTTATCTTTGATCTTCAGCCAGTTTAGCCACAGCCATGATGCATTACTTCTCTTCTTAGCCTGGATAATGGACCCTGTTGCAAAGTATCTCCCTTTCAGCACTTTACTCACAAGTAGATTGGGGTGAGTGGCCACTCTCCATATCTGTTTAAGGATAAGTGCTTCATTGAATAGCCAATATCTTGGAAGCCCAGACCACCATCTTCTTTTGCCACAGTCACTTTCTGCCACTTTTTCCAATGGATACCCTTAGTATGTTCTGCTCCTTTGCTCCACCAGAACTCTGCACAAGTCTTAGAGATATCCTGGTTCGTGCATGTGAATTGTTATTTTTTAAGAGCAATTTTTTTTTTTCAATGAGCCTTTTTTGTTCTAAGTTAATATAATATTTACCATGATATCATTCTTGTTATGTACATGTGATTATAGAAACAAATTTTGTATATGGTATGTGCACGACTTATTTGCTAAAGAATGCACTAACTCTAAGACGTGACCACGCCTTAAGAATATTTGTTGCTTTTTAAAAGAATCAATTAAAGCTTAAGTGTATTTGGACGAGCAACAATTTATTTGTTCCTAATTTTAGACCGTTAGGTTTAATTTCATCTAACGTTAATCAAAGGGTTATTAATCTAACTGTAGGGGTTGCTGTTAGTGGGGTATGTCTTTAAATGTGCAGGGTTGTACAAACCGAAGCAAATATAAACTATTCATTTAGAATTCGAGAACATATCCAACTACTTGTATTTGTATTAGATTTTTTATCAAATTTAATTTGTGATTCATATTCGATTCGATTAAGATAATTGAATATAATCAATTCGAAAATCGTTTTCATAAGCTACTTCTAAATATATAAATATATTTGTATATTTGTATATAATTTTTTAATATTATATACAGTTTTAAATATAAATATATTTTTTCTATTTTTTATTTATATTTAATATATTTATATATATTATATAAATAAAATCTTATAATATATATAGTATATTAAATTATATAAATTATTGTTAGCGAATGGAATATTCAATAATTTGAATTGAATATGTGCATATTCAGATTCAGATTCTAATAAATTTCAAATACTAAACACTATTCTAATTCGAATTTGTGGGGGCATTTTTTTGTTCAAATACTAAACACTATTAGCTCGGTTTCTCTAGATCCGAGCTACATCACTATTCTAATAGAAACCGAGATAATGATATAATTATGCTACCTAATGAGATAGACTAATATGAACACACCACATAATAGATAAGTACGAATATAAATAGGATAAACAAAGCACGTGGATAGGAGCACGTGACTAATAGAATTGTCCAGTTAGGGCACCCAAGCAGTACGATTGGGTAGTTCGGGCAACAGGGCAGTCCAACCAAACAGTCTTGGACAACAATGTAACACCTCTATATAAAGGGGTGGGATATGATGATCACAATTCACATCATCTTCATCTTTTTTTACTGATTAAGTATCAAAGCTTCTACGTCAGAACAACATATTTTACAAATCCTCACTAGCTCGTGAACAAATCAAATAAATATATTTACAAATCATTCACCAACTCGTGAACAGATCAAAGGACGTTCAACCAAGTCGAGTTGGTTTGAACTACAAAATAGCAAATCTATAATTCACTCGTGGACAATCTCATTTGTGTTTTTTTTAGTCTAAAAATAAATATATCCCGATTAATCTCGGTCGCGCGTTGAGTTACTGGCTCGAGCCAATAAAAACTATGAAAGTCGAAAGTATTCAACGCGAAACGACGACGTAGGTACCCATCAAAGACCAATTAATTGTAAACCTAAAATCAATTGCCCGACTGTGTAATACAATTGTTGATCGGTGGTCTGAATGCGATCGCGGAGGACGACGATTAGGTCGGATAATCTTTTCCGATAGCTGGAATTGCTGCCGTGCCACAATAAAAAATACTTCTTTTCTGAAAATCACAGTAGTAGTTCATTCGAGATTTTCCACGATTTTCAAGATTCAGAAATCCGGTTTCAATCGACTGGGTGAGGGAATAATCCTTTACTTTATGGCTGTTTATGGGTTTCGATTGTTATTCGATAGCTTATCAATTCGAATTCTTTTGAGAGGGGCTTTTGTAGATCCTGCAAGACTTTCATTACTGCTGTTGATATATCTGATCATTCGTAATTCAGCTGCGTTTCTATTTCAATTCTGGCCTGAAGGACGTAATTTTTATGCAATTACAGATCTGTTGCGCTTTGCCATGTTTGTTGAGATTTTGACTTTTTCCTGGCATGTGTTTCTCGTGTTTGTTAGAGTTTGATACTGATTTGATTCATCTGCAAATTATTGGCGTTTTTTAACAAGTATTTAAGCTGAGCTGGGTCTATTTTGAGCATTTTTTTTTTGTATGATGGAATATCACGTCAGTTTTTCGTTCAGGAGGGTTTTTTCTCAGTGCTTGTTTTTTATTACTGCAGTAACTTACCAGATTTAGCTGCATTTGTTGTAAATTTTTGGTTGAGGGTCCTTAATTTTTATGTTCAATTTGCATTGTGTATGGGATTTACTTTTGCTATTGAGCATTTTTTGAATTTTTCAGAGTAACATGTCGTGTTGATACCTCTGAGTTTTAGCTCCTATTTTTTTTTTTTTTTNAGAAGGTGTCTAATAGGTTATTCGTAATTTCTATTAAATTAAAAAAATGAAAAGCTCTTTCTGGATGTTCATTGATGGTGATTGGATCTTTGTAGAGATGGCAGATTGTCATTTTCCAGTTCTGTTTAAAGTCCTCTGTGGTTTTGATTGCTTCAAATTTACTCTGCAAATCCTAAAGCCTGTAATTGGAGATGAATTTTGATTGTTCATAAAATGAACCACTTCAAAATTAGATACGGTTGTTCGGAGAACAATGAGATATTGATTGTATGGGTGATTATCTTATTGGTTTAGTGAAGGACATATTAATGAAAATCCTTTCTTACCTTTTTTATCAGCCAATGGCATCTTCTGGAGACTCCTGGGTAAGGGAATATAATGAAGCAGTCAGACTTTCTGATGACATCACGAACATGATATCTGAAAGGAACTCGCTGCCAGCATCTGGGCCAGAAGCCCAACGGCATGCATCTTCTATACGGAGGAAAATAACCATACTGGGAACTAGACTGGACAACCTACAATCTCTTCTATCAAAGCTTCCTGGCAAGCAATCTTTGTGAGCTATCCAAACACTCCCCTGTAAAGATTAGTAACATCTATAGATTGGAATGATAAATTAGTTGTCATATCCCGGTTTAACAACAGCTACCCAATATTCAGGTTGTTTTCCTCATTTGTCCATTGTTGCATTTTGTATTGGTTAGATATGCTTTAGTCCCCTAACCACATTAATATCTGCGTCAATTACTTTCTTTTATGCCACTGCCCAACTTCGCACCTGAAGTTAGTCTTGTTGAACACAAAGTTTGGAGGAAGAATTGATGTATCTGAGACACTGAATGGAAATAAGATAACAATGTAATAGTTGAAGTTGATGTGACATGGAAATAGTAAAGTAGTGCTTTGTTGTTAGAATAATAGTTAGTCTATTGAGGAAAGTGTAGTAATGATTGGATTTTATTTGAAGTTGTATTGATGAGATTAAGACGGAAAATTATTGAGGAATGTGTAGTAAGATTAATTTTTATTTCAAGTTGTGTTGATGAGATTGAGGAGAAAAGGTGAGAATGAAGGACTAGTGTGCCTTTTCATTTTTTTTTTATATCCAATCATGACTTCTACGAAAAAATTTGGCTAATGATATGAAACTGAAAATTTCTTGTATCTAGTTGCTGCTGTAAGCTCTCAATTTTTTATTTATGCTTTGTTTGCCTATTTTAGATCTCACAAGTACTTTTCTTCATTTTGATGTTTCCGCCTGTAGATATAGAAAATCACTAATTGATAACCTTGCTGAGCTCTGTTCTCAAATTTCATATTTTATATCTTTATAAGTAAATGGACATTAACAACAACATCAACAACAACATACCCAGTATATTCCCAACAGGTTGGGGTCTGGGGGGTCAGTTGTACGCAGACCTTACCCTTGTAATTATACAAGGAGGCTGTTTCCGTAGCGACCCAAGGTGCATTGCGCCGTTTGATATATTTTTTTTTTCTAGGAACTTCACTAATAGAAGAAGCACTAGAATTCCTTTGAGTAAAATGTTTGATTGAGTGAACTTTCATTCGTTGCTTGTCGAGCTAAATTCCTTGTCCTCTGTTTTATACCTGCTCCTTTCCATTTACAGGTCAGAGAAAGAAATGAATCGTCGTAGGGACAGGGTGTCTAATTTGAGATCAAAAGTGAACCAGATGGCTTCCACTTTGAACATGTCAAATTTTGCGAATAGGGACAGTTTACTTGGCCCTGAGATAAAGCCTGTTGATGCAATGAGCAGAATTAGTGGCCTTGACAACCATGGTGTTGTTGGTCTCCAAAGACAAGTCATGAAAGGCTAGTTGTTGGGAGACAACTCTTGACTTCATTTGATTTTTATTTTTTTTTCTTATATATTCATTTTGACAATTTTCTGTTTCTTTTTCCCACTTTTTGCTACTATTCCCTGCAGAACAAGATGAGGGTCTTGAGAAACTGGAGGAGACAGTGATAAGCACCAAACACATTGCACTGGCAGTAAATGAAGAGCTTGATTTACATACAAGATTAATTGTGGGTTTCCGTTTTTTTCTTTTCCTTAATATTTTGTGTGCTCTGTAATCTGATAATGTTTATTCTTAATAGTGTTCTGTAAGTCGTTAGATGCATTGATAATGAAGTTTTTTATCTGTCTATGTGCAGGATAATCTAGATGAACATGTCGAGGTGACAGACTCCAGATTGCAGGTGACTGTTGCTTTTGATAAAGTTTTCAAAGGATAGTATATTGCGTTTGAGTTCTGCTTTTCGGTATAATCTTTATAATCACTGTAGATTTTACAACATGATAACAATTCAGCTTTGAGGGCGAGGAAACCATGCCATGCTTTTAGAAGAAGCAATCCTATAGAAACTAAAACAGTTGGAAGTCATGAGTTAGATATGCGTGAATAGATGCTAAAAGCTGAAAGAATAAGATAAAGGAGTTTATTTATTTTTCAAAATCTGGATAAAAAGGAAAAAGAGCATGCTGCAATTATATGTCTGTGTGGGAAGGGAATCAATAGTTTTGGGTCATGATAAACTTTAGATAAGAATCTTTGAGATAAACTTTGATTTTTTATTAATTTTTTTCAAAGCACTTTCTTATAGTTAGAAGCTCTGCATTTGTATTGTTGATTATGTGTAAATAATAAGAGATGGTGTGCAAATATATTAAAAAATTATTTCTCCAGATAAAAGCTTAGAAGCACCACTACCCAGTGTCATATCTTTGCAAATACTTTTCCCCCATAAGAAAATTAATTCTTAAAGCAAGAACTATAGACGGTTCTCTGTTTGAAGAACCCAAATCTCGAAATGAACTACTGGACTTTGGAACGTAGAACACACTTGTTTAATGTGTTTCTTACTAATGTATCGAGAAGGATATCTTGTGAAAGTCGACCGAATAATTCAGCACCTATTTATTGGGAATTTTTCCAAAATTGATTCTTAATGTTTGTTGTTTTGTTTCTAATCGAGCAGCGAGTACAGAGGAGGCTTGCAATATTGAACAAGAGGACTAAGGGTGGCTGCTCCTGCTTGTGCCTCCTCCTATCTGTCATAGGGATTGTGGTTTTGGTTGCCATCATATATTTGTTGGTCAAATATTTGTAATTTAAGAAAGGTTAAGTTCAAACTTCCTCGTGTGCTTTTGTTTTTATGGATTTATATAATTATGTTGGTATAAAGAAGAGCTAAAGGCAGGACAGGTAATGCCGTGTATTTGCTTTCACAAGGACTGATGGATTTCCAGATTGTTTGTCATGTATATAATTACATGATTTGGTTTGGTGCAAAATTGTACTTAATATTATTAGAATCTTTTCTGCCTTGAAGAGAACTTATGTTGATGGTTGACGATATTGGTATACCTCTATGTTAACTCGTTTTATTTTTTATTCGGATTTGTTGTCAAATGTAAGTCATTTTTATGGATTAGTCTTGATTTAGTCATGTAAAAGTGGATATAGGCTCACGCGTATTTGAAATCCAAAGAGACTAGTGTCTCTGTTGGCTTTCTTTTGGATGTACGAAAACTGTGTGGAAGAACCGCTGTGAATTGTACATGGGCTATTGCTCATTGTACAGATTACACTTTAAAATGCTCTCAAAAGAAATAAGAAAAGTAATGGTGATGATAACAATAAAATCAAAACTAAAATGTGCATTTGGTGGGTAAAGAAAAAGGGAGTTGAACAGGACTCAACAATCATGCCAACATAATGATTCATGTAATTATAGGGCAAGCAAATAAAAATTAACACACTTAGTTGTCATAATCATTTATTACACTGTGTCTGGTGACTATAACTTGAAACAATTAGTATTAATTATTAATTATTAATTATTATTACAAACAACAAATCTAAAACTACTTGTATGATACCAAATGTAGACAAGAATTTTGAGTTGGCACAATTAGTGAAGCTCAATCGAATTATACTATGTTTTGTATCACATAAGAATGTTTTGTTCTTGCATGTAATTAGTTCCCAACGTGTATGTAAATCTTGCTATATTCCTCCAAAAACTCTCATTCCAAAAACTCTCATTCTTCAATTTCATTTGAGATATTTTCACAAATTAAAAAATTCAATCTTGCTCGATAAGGTCAATGCTCGACTCGGCTCGGCTCATTTGCAGCCCTAGCTGTGACCCACTAACAGCAGCCCCTACAGTAACATTAGATTAAATTAAACAGTTAGCTTTTAACATTAAATTAAATTAAATCTAAGGGTCCAAAATTAAGAACAAATAAATTGTTGCTCCCATCTATACATCCTTGTATTCAATTTTTATTTTATTTTTTTAACGGAAAATAGAGAATGAGTTAGGTCGTGTTTGTTAAATGATTCATTCAAACCAAATTAATTTTAATTAGAATCTAACTCAACTTTAAACTCAATCCCACTATTCTCAATATTGTCAATATAATTAAATAATAGCAATCAATTATTAAATAATAACAACCTATCATTTTTACACATCCTATCAACTTTAATTCACAATTCATTCACTCACATAATTTTAACTAACCATCACATCATATCATCTCCCTCTTACTTTTATATCAAACTAATTTTAATTGTTTTATTTTAAATATTATTTTAATATAAACTCAAAATCCCACTAACAATTAACTATATCACTTTTTCTAAATTAACCCTAGTTAACTCAAAAAATTCACTTTGAGTTAATTCACTCAAATTATTTCTTTAACAAACACACCTTAGTGAATTAGATCCAATCATGACCGAGTCATATGTTAAGATCCCATAGGAAAATGGGTCATGCCGTTGCCGCTGCAATTGATTTGGCACATGATGCATGTTGTCGGACTCACTCCAAAAGCAACACATCACTTGAGGATTAGAGAAATAGTGAGTTGAGATAAACTTGGATGCTTATTAGAAGATCAAAAGACTTATTTGCGCTCAAAAAAGAGAAAAAAACATGGTATATGATGAATTGAGGCCAATAATACGATACTTTGAACAAAGAGAAAAAAAGACCCTTCATTTTTTTTTTATTCGATGCAATTCGACAGTGACAAACTAGTCACTAATATATTTTGGGTTTATTCGGAAATTATTGTTGATTATGGTGATTTTTGCAATGTAATTACATTTGACACGAATTATGGCACAAACAAAGAATTGAGACCCTTAGGTGTGTTCACGGGTTATAATCATCACAGGCAAATGGTCATTTTCAGAGGTGCACTTTTGTATGATGAGACCACTGATTCGTTTGCTTGGCTTTTCGAAACTTTCTTGAATGCTCGTGGAGTTAAAGAGCCTCAAACTATTTTTACGGATCAGGATACAACTGTGGAAAATGTTTTGGCAAAAGTATAGAAAAATACACGACATGGACTTTGCACGTGGCACTTGGAATCAAAAGGGGATCAAATATTTGGATTGGTGTATGAAAGACGATTCTTCCTTCTTGACGGAGTTTGAGAGGTGTGTGTTTGAATATTTAGAAGAGGATGAATTTGAAAGAGAATTGAAGAAACTACTTGATAATTATGATTTGCATGATAATGAATTGCTATCGCATACATATGGTCTGAAGGAAAAATGGGTCAATGTTACATGAAGTATGCATTTACCTTAAGAATAAGAAGCACTCAACTGAGTGAGAGTTTGAATAGTGATTTGAAATCCTATTTAAAATGTGATATGAATATATTTTATTTTTTCACACAGTTTTATAAGATTATCGATGAATAAAGAGAGCAGAAGCTTAAAGCCGACTTTGATGCGAGACAGAAGACACCTCTACTAAAATCAAATAATTCCTTATTGTTGATGCATGTGTCACAATTGTACACTCCTGAGATTTTTACATTCTTTTAGACTGAACTTTGTGCTGCTTTAAAGTATTGATAAAAGAAAAAGATGAGACTCAACATTCGCTTAAATATGTGGTCCGCCTTCATGGTTTAAGAGAAAATGAGATGAAAGTACTCTTTGATCCTATAAAAGATTGGGTCGTCTGTAGTTGTAGAAGGTTCGAAATCACGGGAATATTGTTTTGTCATATCCTACAAGTATTATTGTTCAAGATTTAATGTGCATTCCACAAAAGTACATATTGAAAAGGTGGACAAAAGGCGTGAAAAGTGCTCAAAGCTTGAACACAAAAAAATTTCATGGTGCAGAAGATCTTAGAGAATGGGTTTAAAGACTTCATGAATCTAAACTCTTAAGGATGACACTTCAAGATTTCGCCCATGAAGCGACACGGAGTTGTATGGAGAAAATGGTGTAGGAGTGTAATAAATAAGTTTTTGCTTTTGCAACAAAGAATGAGATATCAAATGAAGAAGTTCATTCATTCAACGTAGATGGTAGAATTGAAAATATTAAAGGCTTGAAAAAAAAGAGCTGAAAAGGGGGAACAAAGCAGCCAAAGGGTTGGATTGAAAAACATGTTGGAAAGTTTTCAAAAAATCAAAATCATTAAAAAAGGTATTCGTTATATTTTATAAGTTTAATAAATTGCATTGTTACTTTCTAACGGTATTTAATTTTATTTTATTTTTTAGATTTCCCTGTTGTCATGAAGGCTTGTCAGTAAGTAGCTAATTCATAAGAAAACTTAAATTTTAGAGCAGTGGTGCACCATCAACAAGAAAATGTGAATGATGATGTTTTATCTCACTTGTCGGTATCTCAAACGGTCCATTTATCTCAAAACTAGAATGGTACAGTTTTTTAAATAAAAATAAAATACTAATCACACTATTTTTGTTATTGATACTAGTACGAATCCCGTGCGATGCACGGGTAAGAAATATTTATTAATATTTATTGATTAAATTTTTTATTAAATAATATTAATAAATTTAAAATATAAAATCAATATGTGGTACACCCCCTCCCTTTATTAATATATTTCAAATGTTATATGAAATATAATTTGTGCAAAATTACATACACATGTATATTGAAATTAGTACACAACTCACACAGTGGACATAATTGGTAATAAATTATATTATTTTTATTTCAAAATAAATGTCAATTTAAAAAAAAAAATCTTGGATACTAAAATAAATTTAAGATGTACAAATCTTGTGATTGAATGATTAATATTTTCAAAATTCATGTAAAACTTAGACGATATAAATAGTCATGTACAAATTCGAATACAAAAGAGACAACTATAGAACATAAATTGTATTTTATCTACCTTGTTCATATATATATATAGAAATAGAGTTATAATTTATATTAACCATGGCCTAAAATTACACATTTTTATTATTTTAGAATAATTTTATAGTTCACTTTAAAATTACAGTTATATTTGGATAGATTTTGTTAATAGTATGTAGCAATTAAGCAGATTTATTTTCTATTATCTTCTTTATATATATTTTTAGAACGTGTTGAGCCTAAGTGATAAGTTTACACGCTTCAGATGTTGACACGTCAAAATTATGTGTTTCGTAATTTGGTTTGTATAAATACTACTGCTTTAAAATCATGTTTGGTACTTGACATAAATAGTTTATTTAGAATTTTTATAATTATGCATTTATATTTGTCACTTTTTCTCTTTCTCAAAATCAAATCTTAGCATAGGAAACTCATATTATTTATTCTCATTTATTAAATACTATAATTTATTTTTATCATACTTTAAAAGATAATAACTTTTTTATATGTAGTCCCTGAATCATCTAATTAGGACTTTTGGAGATTTATTCCTAGTGCGTAACTCGTGCGATGCACGGAGGGGTACATACCTTAGAACCGTTTTTAAGACTTTATTTTAAAAATAATATCCAGATAACATCTCATTAAGGAAAAATAATAATACAAACAATAAAAAATTATATATTAATAAAAACTTATATGTAAATAACATTTTTTGTTTGATTTGGTGGCAAGTCATGTTCACCACATATTAGAATCTTCAAACCCTTTTTGTTGGTGACTCGTGAGACAAATTTTTAACCCTTTTTGGTCAAACATACAGATATTTTTTATTAGTAATATAAATATCAAATCAATTTATAATGTTTAACCCTTTTTAATAAATTTTAAAATTATCTAATCTATAATTAATAGACATAATTACTTTATATAGGATTATAAAAACAATAAGCCCTCTTAACAAACTTTTAAAAACTGTTAAATTGGGTTCGAAACAATTACTTTCGGGATATTTACTAGTTTTTTAGCATATTGGGCCGTATAATAAAATTGGAATTAATGACATCTTCTATCTATATATTTAAATATTTTATGTTAATACACTTGTTTATTATTTGGACAAAATTACTCCTTCCTTTTACCTGTATACCTCAAACTCATCTTCTCACTTTTTTCTCTCTCTTCGAACGGTAAACCACGCCCCACCATCATCTCTCTCTTTTTTTTAGAAAACCAGATAACCACCCCCAAATTCTCAAAACCGATAATCCCTAGACCCAAAGAAAAATCTCCAT